CCCTGATGATTACCTACCACTCGCTTGATGCTAGATTGGAGCTCTAGTGGTATATATATTCGAGTAAATCCTGTTTCGATTAAGCAGCCAGTTTTGCTATCATATTTCAGCCCCCAAACACTTCATATTATAAATAGACAAGCCTAGATCATCCTAAAGTGTGTTGAATCATTATTTTACCTTGAAGATCATAAATACATTCCATTGATTCTAGTGATTCAAGCCCAAAAATTATTGTTCATATACTTTATCTAAAACATTGTTCTAACATTGGTTAAGCCTTGAATTAAGTCAAGAGAACATACTTTGAAGATCAAATTTCATATTTCAGTATATTTTGTGTCAGTCATAGATCAAAACATAAAAGGATATTTGATCAAACACCGTAACAAAACTCCACCTTCACCTTTAAGCCTTCAGAGTTCTGAAGTTGGAAGAAGAGGCACTTGGAGTTTCAATGTTACAGAACGAGGTTCTAGTGAAGAATGAGGTTCATTCTTGGAGATCCAACGAAGAGAAAAGTAGCCCAAATTCCTAGAAAGTGTTAGTGTGCACGACTAAAGGAGTTTCTTGGTGATTTACAAGCTAAATGATCAGAGTTAGCTAATATTTAGCAGTGTCTGAACTAATTGTAAGTTACGTTTTTAGTAAATCGTTTACTGACAAGTTTGTCCAAAGGTTTTTAATCCTGAGTTGGGATTTACCTTCAAGAGTTATATTTGGTGTCATTTATTAATAACTGCTTTGATTTGAATGTTTGTGATTGTTCAAACATAAGAATTAATTGAATTAATTACCTTAAACATCTAGAAATAATTAATAAGTGACTTGTTATTTTTACTTGGTTTAATTCCTAATTAAGATATAAAGTCTTCGGATAATTTAAACTTGCAGTCTTGGAGAAGTAAAAGACTAAAATGAGTCAAAGATGATAAATATGAAACAGGGTAAAGAAGTAGCTGTAAAACTACTCCCTGACCTCATATCAGGAGCTCAAGCGCAAAGAAAGGGACCTTGGTAGCATGCTAGGCGCAAGCTTGACCGTGAGGGTTTCGTTCAAGCGGCAAGTTTACTTGAATCTTTATGGTTTTGTGATTTGGCCAGTTTTGGGACTCCTATTTCAATTCAAAAAGTCCATTATTGATTTTATCCATTATATTGAGACTTTACCATATATTAAACTTTTCATGTATTAATTTTCCTAGTATGTTAGGTATGATTGTATTATAAATATGTGGTGTATTACATATATTTGACTATCTAAATTGATAGAGAGAGACTCACAGATAGAGAGATCAAGTGAGAGTCTTGTGTTATTCAACATAACATATTATAACTCCTTACTTTTGATATAGTGAATTCTTCGTGTTTACCCGTAATTTTTACGTGAATCTTGTGTTCTTGTGATTATCATTTTTATAGTTCCCATTATCTCGTCTTTAATATTCATAACAATTGACTCAATTTCTAATAGATATCTATATCAATTTCAATAGAAATTAAATTCTTGTAACTTATTGGCACCTTATCCTTTACAAATTAAAATAATTATCGTGACACGATTTTAGGTAATGGAATTTTGCATCATCAAATATCTCAATAAAAATCTTAAATTAGCCCGATTTGATATGCTCAAGATTGTTTTGTATCTTTCTTTCTCTACATTCTTTTAGTTGCACCCCCATAAAAAAACATTGACTTTTGTGATTAAAGCTAAGAACATATTCACCTTAATCTTAATCTCCTAAGTGATAAAGAATAATTTGGTGTGACTAAAGTAGAACCAACGAGCTTGATTCTAAATGCTGTAACTGTTTTATGTTAAGAAGAAATAACATTTGATGATCCCTTAAATGGAATTATGATGTATCCATTTGGAAGGCTAGATTCAAATCTTTATTTATGCAAACACTTTGAATAAAAGTTGGCATGTAATTGCAATTCGGTGTACAATACTCGTATCAACCCTAGCTAAAATTCTATAGTATTTTCACAGTGCACATGTATATTTATGGACACTGAATATGTAGTCGATGCATGAGGTTGTAATACGATACCTACTAAATCATATAGAACTTTTAGTTTTGATCGGTATGAGTCTTATACAATTTCTCTGTATTTTTATGGTTGTAATTGTAAACTAGCGTTGGTTCATTTTTCAATATGTAAAACCTTAAGGGCATTTTAATTAACAATATTGGATATGATCAAAACTACAATGAGCGTGATTTTAATTTTCCTTTTTCATAAAACTACTCGCCTCTATGAAGTACATTGTTCAAACATGTAGCATGGTACATTTGTTATGCAAGCATGATGGAAGTAGATTACAAGAAAAACGTATGAAATGTTTATGCCATCTTATAAAACTCTCAATTCTATATTAAAACGAAGCATGGGAATTGAAAAACGTTTGCTATGGCTAATTATCCCAATAGAGAGAGATTGGTAAAACGTACTTTGTTCAAACATGTAGCATGGTACATTTGTTATGCAAGCATGATGGAAGTAGATTACAAGAAAACGTATGAAATGTTTATGCCATCTTATAAAACTCTCAATTCTATATTAAAACGAAGCATGGGAATTGAAAAACGTTTTCTATGGCTAATTATCCCAATAGAGAGAGATTGGTAAAACGTAACAAGATGAAGGTTTTGGTTTGCAAGATTTTCAAAAAGTTAAAACTGAATTTTGAGACTAAGAAATTACTTTTGAATCTATTTAAATAATTTTTTAAAAGTACTTTGTCCGACTTGAAAAATACTTAGAGGAAGTTAATATAAAATAATTTAATCAGAAAGCTCTTATATAAGAAACGGAAACTCTATCAAATAATCCGAAATCATTTATAATAAAGCGAATTATGAGACAAAGCTAAAGAAAACCAATTGTAATTTATGGAGGCTTTACCAACAATTCTATTCTTATTCATATCTTGCTTCATGATTGCATTCTCTTACATGATGCACTCACATCCAAACTCACTCGATATTCTGAGTGCGTTTCCCCTGTAGAATGATGGATATAAGTTTCCATTTCATAAGGAAAAATATATATATATGATACCAATTCTCAACATATTGTTCCAATAAAAATTTAATTTTTTTTATATTTTATTATAGTTACATAATCAATTTCTTTCATGACATAAAACATTATCACATAATCCTGTCGAGGTATATAACATCATCGTTGACAGTCGATTGTGATACTATAATAAAAGAGTGAAAATTATTTTTTTTTTCCTTAAAGATTAAAGACAATTAATGCAATTTCCACCTTCTACTAATTCTAACTCATGATCAATTGGTCAAATTTTTTACAACATAATTGTATAATAAATGAGATTTTTTTATTTTTTATTTTTTATTTTTTATTTTTTATTTTTTTAACATTGCTGAGTGTTTACAGTAAATTCCTAAACAAGTTAAAAAAAGGCTACATTGGGTATGCTAATTACTTTTGCACATGATAGCTAACGACAAAATATTCTAATTCATTTTTATTTTTTAATATTAATCAATCATAGCAAAGCCTATTAACACAAGCCTATTCATACCTTATCAACTCTACTCGTGGCTGGAATCTCTTAGTGCATCACTTTCGAACTTAGGCACGATGCTTATCCACAATAAATATTAATTAAATAAATCGAATTTAATCCTACTCATAATCCATTTTGTTTAAGTTGGCAAAAATTCGATTATCAGCCAACATAATCTATGTGGTATTAAATTATGCCAGCACCAAAATCGTATGCTCAAAGATAAAACCTTTTTAATTTCAAAAATCGGTTCGTTGGGGTAGATATATATTCTATATTCTTTATAGAGAGTTCTATGTTTATTGGGCTTCATAGTGATTATTATAAAAAAGATGCTACGGATTCCGGGTAAAAAAAGAGCACCACATGTCAACAAACAACTGGACAATTTGAAATTTTTTAAAAACACATCCAATCAAAAACATTCAAATCAGCCTGTTTTCTGGCTTCCTGTCCGAGTTTAATTGTTATTATAGTCACAATTGCAATGCTAGCTAGGAACCTTTAACCATCAAATGGGAAAAATAAAAAATGCGATCCCTACGTGTAGATTCTACAATCATGTCATTGTAACAAGTAATCGTCACAATAAACTAAATCAATTAGTTGGAATAATTCGTTCATTTGCTGTATTAATTGAATTCGGGTCTGCAAGCGTCAACTCAACTCCGCATGAAATGCAATACCTCCCAAGAACATTTATTTATAATAAGAAATTTATATAAACAGGCAACGGTAAAACTTTATCCGTACATGGAATTGCTATAATAACATATGAAACTACTATATGGGAAAGATGTCTGATATGTAGTTGATGGGTTAAATATTAAGCACGTTTATAATATGAAATTTATAAAAATTGGAGGGTTAAATATTAAGCACGTTTATAATATGAAATTTATAAAAATTGGAAACGATAAAACTCTATCGGTACATGTAATTTGCTATAATAACATATGGAGCTACTATATGGGAAAGATGACCAATATGTAATTGCTCGATTAATTAAACCCGACCGAATGGGATTGGATGGAACGGGATGCGACGCGACGGGACTTGTTGGGACAACACCCGATGCATGAGAGATGCTATACACACGGTGGTGAACAGGGTTAAAAACAAGGGTTGAGATGGCTTCACCTCAGCCCTTGACTTTAATTTCATAAATTCAAATCAAGGGTTGAGGTGAAGCCACCCCAACCCTCTATTTTCAACCCTATCAACAGTCCTGTATGAGTAGCATTGATACGGATGCATAGGATCAGAGTCTCCTCCAATGGTGTTTTTGTTAAGAACCATGCTACACTATCAGACCTCTTACTTGTAAGAGGTCTAGTAGTGCAGCCCCCTCTCACAGTTCGAAGTGGGAGTAGAGTTTTGAGATATTTTTTTAATCATAGGACCCGTCGAGGGGAAAGAAAATGAAAGAGGAGACCTTTATTAAACCTTTTACATGTCTGGTAGAGGACATTCTCCTTTTGTTAAACATAACCAGGCCAAATCCATGAGTGACCTAAGCATAAAGCGCTGCCCCTACAACCTTTCCTCTCTCTATAAATACATCTGATTATATCTCTCTCTCTCCACAGCACAAATTCAAACAATTCCACTATTTCCATCTTCTTCATCAGTACTTCTTTTTCTCCCATAAAAAATGAAAACTGTAATTAAGACTTCAGAATCAAAAATGACAGCAGCAGAAGCAACAATAACTGCAAAAACAACATTTACTCCGCCGGCATCAGCCACCATCCAGCGCTCCCCGTGGCACTCTCCAGTGCCGTACCTCTTCGGCGGCCTGGCGGCGATGCTGGGACTTATAGCTTTTGCTCTCTTGATCTTGGCCTGTTCATACTGGAAACTCTCTGACCAAACGAATGGCGCGGGAGAGGGTGAAAGAGACGTCGAGGCCGGTGATGATGATCATAAAGGCGAAAACGCCAAGACGGAGATGGCCGCGCTGCCTTTTGAAGAGAAGATTGTTGTGATTATGGCTGGTGATGTTAAGCCAACTTTCTTGGCCACTCCCATGTCGAGTAGGGATTCTTTATTTGGAGTTGGAAATGGAAAAAAAGAGAAGGAAATTAGAAATGAAGAATTTGCTGAAAAACCAAAACAAGAAGATGAAGAAACCCTACAATCCCAAGTGAGCCAAGAACAAGTCCATTAGGGTTTTCTTATTTTATTTTATTTTTTCCTTTTTATCATTTTGATTTGCAATTTTGTGATCCGGACAAAATGTTAATTCTATGACGAGATTAAATATATACAATATTGGAAATGTTTATTTTTGGATAACATTTTCTTATAAATTCATCTTTTCTTTCCTTTGAGTTGACAAATCATGTCCTCCATATAAATATGGACGAAGCTGGCCCCGGGACATGGTTCAGTGATGCAAAGGATAAGAGTGAGGTTATCTCACGTTTTGTCGGCAGTCGCAATGTGGGGGTTCGATTCCTGAGACATGAAATTTGACTCATTGTAGGCGCAGTGTACAGGCAACTCTTGTTCATTGACCTGTTGAGGCACATCCTACGATTTACCTTCCTCACAAAACTCTAGAGGCAGAGCGATTGGGATTCTCAAGGTTGGAGTTCAACCTTTTTTTTAAATATGGACGAAGCTGCAGTGTTAGGTTGGTTCACAACTCCTCACAATCTAGGGGTAGGCATTTTTGGAATAGTGTTTTAATGATGCGGGCATGAGACCCACCTCATGTGAGGCCTTGTACAGACTCTATAAAATGGGACATGTGCACTAAGTTTATCCTAGAAATATAAATTTCATCATTGTCCCGAAAATTGTGTCCATACAACCGAGGACATGACAAAAATCATATGCTTCTATCAATTTGATCAGCCAGCTCGATGTGGATTTGAGTTTATATATAATTGTGGATATGACAAAATAAGGAAAAATGATGCATAAATTTAAAGCTACCATCAAACTTTAACCTTTTTTATGTGGAGAAGAGGATAAAGTAAACACAATGATCGAAGCATATATTCTTAATTAATGGACATTTAATTATAATTAATCCACTATGGATACGCACAAGCCTTTTGCACCACCACAAGTTTTTTAAATAATTATATGAATTGACGGATATTAAAACTATGTTCTATATGTTAAAAAAAAAAATTCCGTATTTTTTAACCATATATTTTTTTAAAAATCAATATTTAAAACTATTTTTTCTACGATAATGTATTTCAAACTGACTCTTAATTTAAATTTTTTTAAATAACACATTCAAAGCATGTTTGTTTTCTTTTTGATAAAGATGTCGACCAGACACAAATAAAAATGAAGTTCGACCAAACAAATTTAGAACCGTCAAATATTGTACAAACTCTTCGAACACAAATTAATATGAAATTCATTTAGCCCCATAGGGTAGAAATTAAGTCAAAGTTAACAATTAATTTTAACCACATATTTTATGGGACTCAAAACTTTTCAATCACGTATTTCATTAATTTTTATCAAAATTTACTAAAAGTCTGATTTTAATCCTCACCATACAGGGACCTAGGATTAAGCCCATATTTGACTCTCTTTACTTCAAAATTTCTTTATTTCACATACATATTTTCAACCACATATTCACATAGTAAAATATTTTGTAAGTAAAACTAAATTTTTTTCATACTTTAATAACATATTTTCTCAAAAAATTATTATTTAAAACATCGTTTTCTATCATTTTTCTTTATAACGACCATTCAATATGAGATAAATTCTAGAATTTTGAAAAATGCGCAAATAATCTTTGAAGTTATGAATAAATATTTGAATTATATTATACAAACAGGCTAAAAAATAGGTTCAAAATAGTGTGAGCATTTGTCAACATATGATTGAATTGTTTAAAAATTAAAAACAACAAACACTCAATTATTTACTGTCAAGTCGGTGTGTTTTTCAAACATTATATTCCTAAATATTTAAAGAGAATTTAAGAAGTGGGGGAAAAGATTGGAGGGTAACGTCACAGCTTGTCCTTTCCTCCTAGGATGCAACTCATTGGATACTTTGCGGGAAGTGGTTGGCGGCAGAAGTCGTTGGAAACCGACAGGGCGCCCGGTGGTTTGTCCGTGCACGGCGGAAATGTGATTAATGCTTTTGCTAAAACAGTCAGGAGATTGTTGAAAATTGCTTTCTGCCTCCTCGGGATAAAATTGACAATTATAAAATTTAAAGGTTTTGCATTTCAAGGGAAATTACATTTTAAATAAGGGTAATTATATTAACACCACAAAATTTGCTTACTATATTACATTATAATCACACCACATTTAAAATATATTTTTAATAAATCCATCACAATAAATTTACAATTATATTCCTAATCTAATAAAAACTAAAAATGAAAATATTGTGATGTACTCATCATTCCAATAAAGGTTGAACCCCAACCTTGCCCCCACCACCTCGCTTCTAGAATATTGTGAGGGAGGTAAATCGGGGGATGTGCTCCAGCAAGTCAAGGAACAAGAGCTTGCCCGTATACTGGTGTCCACAAAGAGTCCAATTACATATCTCAGGAATCGAACCCTTACGCTGCGGTTGCCAACAAGATTGAGACTATCTCACTCCTATCGTTTGCACCACTGAGTTATGCCTCGAGAGGCACTCATCATTCCAATATAGTTTTGTCGATTAACCGTTCTACCTCATTTCACTCATCTAGCCCTCTTCAATGACTTGTACAATCGATGTCACCAGTGGGGAATTCTATTATCAAAGAAATAAAGAACAATGAAGGCGGAGATCTAGTTTCTAGTAATTTAAGTACCTCTGAAAGCACCTTAAAATTCAATATCAAGCGAAGGAATTCGTTGTTAAGTTGACTTAGAAAGAACTTGCAATTGAATGGAAAGAAAGCTTCTCGGGATATATATATTAAATATCATAAGGTAACCCCGTGATTCATCAATGTAGTCAATGGATTCCATCACAAATTAGAGGTGGGCAACGAACACCAAATTTAAGGTCGAAACTCAAACAAACATATAATAGTTCTTTTGAACAATTATAACCTAATTTTTTTTTTTCATTTATTAGGTGAAACTCGATGAATGGGAGTGGAATTGAAAAAAGAGAATAAAAAATTGGAGAAAAATGGCAAAATTCAAAGCTTGGGGACTAAAGTATAAATACTTCAAAGTTGTGTTAGACCTCACGATGAAGATTCGAGAATGCTAGGACTTAATTGGATATAATTAGAAGCCAAAATGAGTGTAATATGAGCAAAATATTTTTACAAATCAATTTTCAACCGCACAATGATGGTCCAAATTTTTAGTCGAAGATTGAGACTCATTTTTGGCCTAGTAAAAATTCGAATTGAAAAAGAGCTAATCTAGTAAAGTTGTAGTTGTTAAGTTATCTTTACAACCCAATTTGAATCGCCTCAATCGAATATCGAGAGAGAAATGTAAAATAAAAATACTGAAAGAGGTACAATGTTGGATTTTTCCCGAAAGATGGCACCTAGCATAATGTTGCAGCAATACGGAACCACTCCATGGTGCCTGAGTGCCACCTGATGAGGAGTAGGGCCCGATTTTGTCCCTTTTAATGCCCATGAAAACTCTAAATTCGAGAAATACATTATGGGAAGTATAAATACAAGATGAGGGGTTCTTGAAAGGAGTTCCACACATTGATATACACAAGAATACATTTGAGATTGAAATAGCAAAATCAAAGGAGAAAAACAAGAAATCAAAAGCTTGGATTTGGAATCAAGATTTGATGCAAGAAGAGGAACTTGGTACAAGATCCATCCACTTCTCCACATATCAATTCAATACCCCGATGATGTACTTCAATATTGTTAATTATTTTTCTTCTAATATTATGAGTAGCTAAACTTTTCATTAGGCAAAAAATATAATCTTTTAAAACTCTTTATTTCTTTTATTCAAGATTCAATTTTTTTTATTATATACATGTGTTGATTTTAATTATATGTTTAATACTTTGAATTACTTGATCAATAATTCAATAGTTTTGTGAACTTATTATGAATTGAAAGATGAGTTTTAGATTTAGAACACCTATTAAAATTCAGTAATGTAGTATAATGGGTAGAAATACGTATACTAACTATTATGGCCGTTATATGGATTCTTAGAACAAATGGTGCGTTTAACTAAAATTGATTCACATAGAGATATGTAATTGAATTAGTTAAATAGGCTCAATTAGAACTCGAGTAGGGTAAATTGAATATAATAGAAGAATTCGATCAAATATTTCACTAGATTTATGAATTTTGAATTAAGATTTAAAGGTAATTAATTGATGAAAATTCTATACCATAATATCCATTCCATATTTGAATTTTAAATCAATCATCGTGTACTTTATGCTATTTTCACGTAGTTAGATGATTAAAAAAAAAAAATCACAACAAATCACAATTCTTATTTGTTTTCGTCAAATAGGAGTTAAAAATAGTAAATTAAGTATTGAAGAATAGTTCTTGTAGAAATGATAATTCGGACTCAATGATCTACTATATTACTTGTTACGATATTGTACATTTATGATAGAAGAAATGTAACAATGCACCTTAGTTGGAGATCACATCCAGACTCGTACATGAACCGAATGTTCACATGGCAAAGTTTACTTCCATGTCTTATTACTCTAAGAAATCCTTTCTTTCTTATCCGTGACTTTCCCTCTTGAAAATCTTGTGCGTATGCATTAATTTCTGAAAGCAAGTCTATAAGGAAATCCCTGTACCTAAGGCTTTTTCCAATTGAAAATATGATTTTTATGGTTTAAGGTTTTTTAAATTACTTTTTAATATATTTTTTTATTCGGTAACCTTTAACTAGACCTAAAATTTGACTATCAAACTCGAATTCAACCCAATTTACTGAGAAAAAGCAACCTAAATTGATCGAGTCTTGTCGATTTTAATTGGGGTGTGTCGGTTTTGTCCAACCCTAGATGTAGTGTTTAGATTGAGATTTTTCAAATAATGTACTCCCTCTATCCCATAAAGATAGTTATATTTTCTTTTTTTGTCTGTCCCAAATTATAGTCTTGTTTCTTATTTGGGAGTGTAGTTAATATTTTAGCTTCCGAATATGCCCCCATTTAATATACTTTGTTATCACAAATATAATTTAATTATCAAGAATATTGATTGCATTAATGTAAGGGTATATGTGGGAAAATGATAGTAAAATTTATTATTTCAACTATATTAACTAAATTTTCTTAATTTGTGGGAAAAAAGAAATATGACTATATTTATGGGACGGAATGAGTAATACTTATATCCAATTAGAAAAATAATCGAATATTTGACTTCAAAATAAAAAACTTTCATTTAAATTACATTTGATCATCTTGTTACAATACAAGAAGTCATGTTTTTAAATATTTTTCCCCTAAATTCAGTATTTTAATATCAATTGGGTTCGCGTAAAGACCAAAAATCTTGGCATTCAACGTAAATCAAAAGATAATGTAGCATCATTAACATTTATATGCTTGTCCATTTCTAAGTGAAAATTTTGTTTTCACCTATTCCTTGTCGCCTCGAGTATTATCTGTAAGTCTCAATTTCGATATGATCAAGAAGCCACCCTATCCTTATTTCCTTATTATCTCTATTTCCTATCAAAATATGAAATCAAAGCCAATTACAATGATCCTTAGAGCTAACACTTTATGTTGTATTAATGTCTACTAGGTTTCGTCTACAATTCAAATTTTATCTCTAGTTTATATTAATAGGGGGGAGAGAAAGAGAGAGAGAGTAAATGGAAGAGGAAAAAATAAGAAACCAAAGAAAAAGGGAGAAATATTAAATAGTAATAAGTTCCAAACTTCGTTGTTCTACTAGACATATTCTTAGACATAATGCAATGGAATAGAATCTTTTTTATAAATATTATTTATTTTAACTTATATTATAATATTTTAGTGCACATTAACATTGAAAAATGTTCTTAACCTTCACTTTACCGAGCCATTTGTATCATGTCTCCAAAGTCTAATCTAACGTATCTTAAAAGAGCCACTCCACCCCCACTCTTCTACCCCACATCCCTCTTCCAGCTCGGGGACTGGAACATTTAAGAGGAGAACAACTAACCAATTTGGACTTTTAAACCAAAATTATCTAGGCTTTCCTCCATGAATTACATTTCCAAATCACATGAAATTTGAGTCATACTCTTTTTTAAATCTAATACAGTCGATCATTTTATAGCCTTATTCCTCTATATGCATAATAGGGCTTTGACGAGCTCTATATGTAAGGTAAAGGGTTCAAAATGAAATAGAATATTAGGAGTAGACCAACGAATCAATCATATAATGAGCTAAAGCTATCTCCAATGTATGCACCATTTCACCAAAATGCACCAAATTTTGGTGCAAATTTCCTCCAATGGGGCACCAAATTTTGTACCATTTTGGTGCGAATGATGCAAAGTGTATAATATCATTTTTGCCCTAACTTTTCCTTTTTCAAACAAATTGATCAAGGGTATTTGTGTTATTTGTGCTATATATTTTTTAATACAATAAATTATTAATATTATTATTTACATTTAAAATAAATTTTAAATATGAAAAATAATAATCAATGAATTAATTAATTAAAAGAAGAAAAAAAATTAAAGTTAAAACGAAATATATTAAACGACGACATACATACGATAATCTAATTTTATTTAAAGAAAACGATATGAATTCTGATAAGTATATTGCAATAATATTTCGATTTCGTAATATTGTAATATCCTAATTCGAAATGTATTACACTATTTTTTAATGGCATGATTTAATATTTTCATTGTTGTAGTATTTTTATTAATTGTACTATTTTTTTTTTATATATTTATTAATGAATTTAATCTTTTTCTTAATTTAGCATAGTTATTTATTTAGTATTATACGTATTTATAAAATAATTACATAAATAATATTTCAAATAAATAAATTATTAAGAATAGAAAAAGGGAAAAAATGGTGAAATACTGTTCATTTGGTGCAAATTTTGGTGTAATGGTTAGAGATGAATTTTAGTTTAGTGCAAAATTTGGTGTAAAATTTGGTGCAGCGTTGGAAATGGCTTAAAGGGAGAAAATTTGTCTGAGCACTTCTTTTTAGAAGCATCAAGAGTGACATACTTTCTCCCACATTTTTAAGCGTAATCAAACGTACTGAAAATAAAAGTTAATACAAGTTTACATAAATAGAAATCAAAAGGTTAATGCCCATGCATACAATGGAAGTGCTCAAATTTAAGGACGAGGTTGAGCTCGTTTTAGTCATTAAGAATTAGAAGCATATTTTGGGATGTCATTCTGTATGTACAAACTGAAAATAATTCTCATGTGAGGTGACATTAAATGATAAGGTCACTGTTTTAAAACCAGTGGAAATGGTGTGCACACACAATTATAGAACAATGACGAAAAATGATTCACCAAGAATTTTAAAAAGAAAAAGAAAAGATTCATCGTGATTTGAAAAATATCATCACATCCATTAAGTTCTTCAAAATTGGATTTTTTGTGCAGAGAGCGAAGAGGGATACCTCCACTAGAGAACTCGATCTCCTGAAAGGAAGAATACGAATCGGATTTCTATACCATCACGAAAATTAGAGTTTTGCTAAAGGTACATAATTTGGTGTATGGAATGGTGTACACCCTCTCACATGGTGGGGTCCACTGCAATATTTTATTCAAGTGGATCTCACCCTCATGTGAGAGGGTACCATTCGGCACACGAAATTATATACCGTTAATTTTATCCCAAAAATTATAAGCATGTGTCGCGTCACTCACCTTCGATTTTATGCAATCAAGTCACTGAATTTTCATTTTCTTGCAATTTGTTCACTGATCTTCAATTCCGTATCGTCAAGAACTCAACTTTGATTTGTTTGCAAATTTAGTCACTTTGTTTCATAGTATATCGGTTTAAGTCTTTGTTTGGTAGGGATTAAAATCAATTTTTTAATAAAAAGTCAATGATATGTACGGTTTAAAAGTGGACGATCCTATGAAATATATTGCTAAAATTAATTGTTGAATTTAACTTATATTAAATATTAAATTTTGATTTCTACCAAGCGGGGGCTAAACTTGTACTAAGACAAATATATTAGTATTTTAATGTACTTTTTTTTTTTTTTTGAAAGTTTCAATTTAAGCTTTGACTAAAAATCATATTGTTGTTATAATAATAATAATAATAATAATAATAATAATAATAATAATAAAACTTGATTATATGCATCGTTGAAAAGTTGATAAAACTTATAAATCTCATTAAATGTGTGATTGAAAATAAATTCAGAGAAAAAATAAGTTCAAAAAATTGATACCCAAAAAAGGCTAAATATTATATTGAAATTTTAACTAAATCAAAATCAATGATTAATTTTAACTATACACTTCATTAGACTCACAACTTTTCAATCATATATTTGATCGATTTTTATTAATATCTACTGAAAATTAGATTTTAATTCCCACCAAACACTGGCCAACTAGGTTAGAAAATTCTTTAAGGACCAACTTAGAATTTTGTACAAAACTTCAGTGACCATTTGTAAAATTACTCCCAGTAAATCGAAAGCAGTTGAAAATGCAATAAATTTTTTTTTATCTCCTCTTTTATGTTGGGGAATTTATTTAAATCAATTTTCTCTTTAATATTGACAAGAAACAGAAGTCAATAAATTCTGGATTTTCAAATATTTATAGTCTTATTTCTATGACAGCAATACATTGTATAAGATGTACAGAAACAACTTAGAACAGTAACCACTGCATATCCTAAGATAAATGCGGTGAAATTTCATGCGAGCCCGAAGAATTTATGCTGCAACCAGCCTCTGAATATCCTTCTGAAATCAGATAACAGTTCAAAATTACTAGAGCAGAGTGAATGGTTAATGAATGGATTTGTAGAGAAATGAAAACAATGAAATTGAGGAAATAAAGAAAGGTGAAGTAGAGAAAGTAAAAAACAGAAAAAATAAGGGTAGATATACATTCATCCTCATCAGTAGCTATTGTACAGAAGTTGAACAATTCAGAAATATATTCAAGATTTTGTTGCCTAAACTAGTGGCTCAAAATGCTGAGCCCAAGATGACAAGTAACATCTCGTTTAACTTTTACATAATAACGAGAAGGGAAGAGGAAGTGGTATTCCGAGGTTGATGAGTCCCCTCTTCCCCTAACTCTATTTCCTAATATAAACCTTGAGTCATCAAAGCCTTTCTGACTTGGCCTCAACAGTAACCCAGCAAGATATCACTCAAGAAGATTCTAGTTTCTTCTTAGACCATCAATTGAGGTTAAGGACCTTTAGTGCATGTTTGGTAAAGCTTAAATTATACCCCCTCCGTCCCACAAAGATAAGTTTGCTTTTCCTTTTTCCTTTGTCCCAAATTATAGGCTACTTCCTCGTTGAGAATATAGTTGATTTCTTAGTTTTCTTAATGTCTCTTGTGATCAATAAATATGAAGTACTCGTATTTCCAACCATTATTCAATACGGGGGTATATTAGGAAAAATGAAAGTAAAATTTATATTTCCAACTATATTAATTATATTTTCTTAATCAGTGCGAAAATGGAAGCAAGCATCTTTATTAGACGGGGTACATACTTTTTATTCACACATTTCGTAGAACCCATAGCTATTATCCACTTATTATTCACACATTCTGTTGGATCCATAACTTATATTCAGTCCTAGTTTTTTTATTAGTGTAGGAACATGAGAGAGCATAGCATACAGCTCTGTATTTTCCGTAAAGAATGTACTCCTTCATGATAAATTTTTTAAAGACGTTTGCCAATTCTAAGTCCAACAGTCCTCTAGTGAAGGAAGAGGTGACCTATGAGGAAAGCTTACATTTAAGTTTCAAAACGTATCTAATTTCTCAGTTATAGTTCAAGCAAATACAAATAGGTGGTCCATGGCAAAAGAAAGAAGAAACGGGGAAAACCTCTCAACAGGCCTGTTTAAGAAAATTATTCAATAAAGCCTAGATCACGGCATTTTAGGCGCACCTTCATCAAGAAAATCACCAACAATCAGCAGAGGGAAAAAAAGCACAACAACAAACAAACATGAAAGAGAAAAACTTTAAAAGGGCAGTGCTTTCTTTGAAAAAAAATGGATATATATTTGGCAGCACAAGGAAAAAAATTTACCTCTATTTGAAAAGGCGACGTTGTTGGTGGGTATCTCTCGACCACTTTACCATTTTTATCCACTAGGAATTTCTCAAAATTCCATTTAATCAAATCTCCTAGAAATCCTCCAGCATTTGACTTCAGGAACTGATAAACTGGTGCTGTACTGGGTCCATTCACATCAACCTGTTTTGGCTTGATTATTAGTCGTCGTTTCATAACAATTTGTTTAAAAGGTGCACAAAGGAGAACAACAGAAAAACCTTGTCGAAGATCGGGAACTCTGCTTTAAATCTTGTGCATGCAAACTGCTTAATATCTGGATTTGATCCTGGCTCTTGGCCACCAAACTGATTACAGGGAAAAGCTAGAATCTCAAATCCTGCAATATGGTGGCAAAAGGAGATGAAGAATGCTAAAGTCAGTCCTAACATTTAAACAAATACACACATAATTTTGCCAATTAAAAGTTGAAAAAATAAATAAATAAAGGCTGGCTGACCAAATTAATACCAATATGAATACACTTGTAAACCCCTTCTTGTTTCCATTAAAATTACTTTTCCTTTTAATGTTTGCTATTGGTCCTCATAGTTCAATACAACCAAAATTTACGGGGCTGTAAAAGAAAAAGAATGTGAACACCGAAAGTTTCAATAAATAACCCTTGCTTATATATTTTCTCGTAAAATATTCGTGGATATAGTTAAAAAAAAAAAAAAAAAAAAAAAACACCCTCCAACCTTCCTGCGCCCTGTGATAGCGTCAAGCATGTTCTCTTTCCCTGATAAGCCAATCCATGCAGAAAAACACAAAGGGGAAAAAAGGATGTTCGACAAGGCCAGTTAGACGAGAACTTGTCAAGAACGAAGAAGTAAAAGTGGTGCTAAATTAAAAGAGAACAAAACCAACCACAATTCGTCCACATGGAACTGGTTTGGTTCCGAGTTGAGGATAAATGTTTAGTTAGAACGTCAGAAAAAATGGTATATTTGGCCAGTTGCCCTTTGGTGGAGCGTTTGACATGACAATTTTGCTCTAAACATGACTGATTAACATCCCTAAGTATCGGAAAACCGCAATATTAGTATGAAACAAACAACTTTAAAAGTGAGTTTATGAGATCTAAATCAAGCAATCTCACCTTGAGTTTTGTACTTCTCATAAACATGAGAAAGCTCTGAGTAGTTTGATGATGTTAAACCACTGAATCAAAAATAAAACAATCATGTCAACCACCAAGTATTTTATGACATAAAATGTACTCTTAGGAACAAGATCCAGACTCTACGAGTATATAATATAACAAGTTGATACCCATAGTTACTCAAGGGCATATAAATAGAAATATTAAGTTGATTGGTTTGGGTGGGACTGCATGCACTCAGTACAGACATGTCCCAGCACAGCCCTATATGCGTTTCACTTCGGATTGTTCCAGACCAGCATCAGTAGGCCCATTACCACTTGGTCTTATCTAATGAGCAACTGGTACATCAATGTGTAATTCCAAAATCAACAAAATTATCATATTACTCTAATTTGTATTTGTCTCATTTTAGTTCAACTAATATCTTAATATAAAAATTTTCTAATAAATATATCAGTAAACTAGAAAAATACAGATTTATTTGAATGAAAATGATATATTAAACCAAAATCCCAATTAAGATGGCCTTGCACGACACATCATAAAGTTTGGGCTTGTGGCAGTGCCGTGCCATGAACAATATCCACCTGTCTGGTCTGGCACAGGCTCATTGTAAAGCCAGTTTAGGTTGAAGAAAAGTAGGTTGTTTCTAACTGTTATGGCCTACTTTATACCTCTACATATAGATCATGGCAGAAAGTTCACCATTTTGAAGCAACATTCACAATTAGGAGAGCCTTTCCCTTAAATTTGCTCAGGGAGATGTCATTACCATCAATATCCTGTTTTCACGAATAACATTGTGTTAACGCCAAGATATACACAACGAACGAGTAGTTAATCAATCCTCTTAAATCGAGAAAAATGCAATATATAATAGAGAGGAAGATAAAATCAAAAGCTTCCACCTATTTAATTTTCAATGTGCTGTCTACATCAGAGGCATTTGAAAATTCATCTTCAACACAACACAAGAAACATAAAGCTTGATTATATGAAAATCCAGAATAAAACAATTAAATACTGAGAACCAATCTGTTAAAAAATAATCAATGTTCATTGATTTAATACGACTTTCTTGGAAGGAAGTTCATACTGCAAAGCACAGTTCTTGAGATTGCCCAAGTTTCGCTCCGAAATGATTGGATACCTTAATATGATTATTTGAAGTAACAACAAAATAAAATCTTAGATATTTCATAGATATTCATTTCCACAAAAAGAATTAATATGTTCATACTTATTCGCAATTTATTCATCCATTCAACATAAAATTAAAACTTCAGTAGAACGACAATTAAAGTTAACACACAATCATCAAATGAACAATTTAACTAATATCCAGAAATAAATCAGAATCCTGTATTTAAGCAAAACCTATCAATAAAACCACTGGAAAAAAAAAATTACCTTTACGGTGAAGTCATGAATAGACTTCTCAGTGGCAGCTCTGGCATAAACCATAGGAAAAGATCGAGATTTCGAGACAAGCCCATAAATATTTGAGGACTGAACTGAGAACCCGTGTCGAAAAAATGCGGATTTGGAGGACCCAAATTTGGATGAAGCTTTTAGAATAGGCATAAAATAAGAACCTGTACTACACTGCAGTTTGGCTCGTGGCAAAACATGTAAAGGTGATGCAAAAACTGAAGAAAAAGCCATGGAAGTCATTGTTGAACACTGTGTAAATGGGTTTACGAATTGGAAAACTCTGTGCTCATGTGCAGATTACAGTTCTAAGAGTCCTGGTTTTTTGGGCTCGATGTCTGGAAGGTAATGAGACACGTGGTTTCTTAAACCCCCCTATTACTCATTTCAATGTGGCGTTTTTTACCCCTTGAATAAGTTATGTTGACCTCCAAATGCGGTCAACAAATGCTGGCTAAAGTGATCGGAAAACTTGAAGATACACGAATATAATTTCGCTTTGACATACTTGGAATAGTTGCACGTGAATAGAAAGGAAATGAAACGAATTAGAGATCCAATGGCTTGAAATGTATGTAGTGGTGTTTATTTTTCTCTCCAAAATGTGCCAAAAATCAACATACTCGTTCATTTTTCTTCTTCATGAGTTTTCTCTCCTTTTTTCTCTTTCTATGTGTATTGTTTCTATTGTTCCACACATATTTCTTTTTTCTCTAAGGAAAGGGTATATATAAAGTTTGGGGAAGACGTGGTCGTCGTTGGATCCGAACCACTTGGTCTTACTTCCTTTTTCTACACATTACATCATTCTAGCACATGCATTTATTACATTAATAAACGGTCAAATACCCTATATTTCTACGTTGATATTCCTTACATAAGATAAAATAAATGTCTGATCAATCTTTCACAAAGATATTCGTCAAGTTGGCAGATGTGACAGTCTCCTCATCTCTTAGAATTTTAGCCTCGTCTTTCAAAACCTCAGCAGGTCACAACCTCCTTGTCTATTAGGACTTTAGCCTCATCTTTCAGAGCCTCAACAAGTCTCAAATATGAGGATTTCGGCATAGACCATTCGTCACGGTTTCAACATATATCTGGTTGAGTGGCACATTGGCCCAAACAAGGACGTCGATTTCTATAGCTTTCGTAACCTTGTTGCTTTGGATTTTCACATGTTTGGGTTGACTCTATCAATGACGTTAGTGGGACTTCCACGTGTTGCTTCTGATGACTGACTCAATACGGGGAATATCAAGTTACTTTATTTTAGTTAATTTTTTCTTCTTTTTTTATTATAGAAGAGTTAAATTATTTAAATAAGTAATGCTATTTAGCCTTACCAGGATTGCAACTCCAGTATAGGTGGCACTAATATGACATTAATTGATAAATAGAATTAAATAACTGATTTAATTTTACCTTTCATTTAACCAATCATCTAATGTCACCTAAATTAGGATTGTAACTTCAATAGAGTTACATAGCATTATTCTATTTAAATATATATGACGAGAAATGCGTTTTCAAACTAGCATTCGAGATAGATGTAGAAATCCGTGGGATTCAAAAAGTGTTGGGGCGAAAAAGTGCGTTTTTAAAAAAAAAAAAAAAATTGTCCAATCACAAGACACAATGTCAACTGTGATATCAAAAAGAATATACACATATCATGATTGAATTAGAAAAGCCACAACTTATAAGACGTTCATTAAGAAATGATACGTATATAATTTTATATACAAACTCGATTATTCTATAAGAACCTGTACATACACGTCTCAAAGGATTTTATAGTATATTTGCATTTATCTATAAATCCCAAAAATGGTATTAAAGTCAAGTTATTCAAAATTTGCAGTAATTGAGCATCGAAACGCTAGTAACATTTTGTATATATTTCGAGTATAAAAATTTAAGGACTTAATATTTGTTGTATGTGAGAATAAAAATTGACAAAGTCTAGGGGCCGACGAAAAAGGGACAACCCCTCGATCAATGAATTAGCCTTGGCTCGATCAAGGCTCTACTTTGACGATCATCTCGACTCAATAATGAAAATGAGAAAATAAAGTTAAAGAAATATGACAAGAAATGACAAAGTGAAGTTAGTCATCATCAGGAACCATTTACAAAGAATGTAAGAAGCTTGCCAAGCCGTGTATCAACGGGAGTAATTATAAAATATTAAAATCAAAATGAATTTCTAACTACTTATAGAAAAATGAATAAAATTCATTGTGGTTGCAATAGTGTTTGGAGTTCTACTATAGCTAAACAATAATTTCACTGTAAATATCAGTCATACCTATTTTTTCTTACTCAAAATGATGGTGAAGCCATTTCCTCACGCAAATCCAGACACAAGCTTTCATCATCATCATCATCATCATCATTTTCTTCTCTCACTTCTTCTTCAATTCTTCTCTCGTTTTTTCTGTGATTAATATCTTCGTGCAAAATCCTTGTGAATAGAGAGGTAAATCTTGGCATGCCTTTTTTTCAGATTATGATTTTGTTTATTCAAGATTCTACGTGCAAAATTTTTGATTTCGAGTGAATAAAGAGGTATATCCTCGATTTTATCTGATAATTATAATTTTTGTTCTATTCACAATTTTGTGTTTTTGTGTGAATGAGAGGTATATTATTGGTTTAATGCTAAATTTATGTTTCTCTAATTCTTTTAAACTATTAAAATCTGTGTGTAAAATTTATATTCTACTTGGCTACAATATATTGTGAGTGCATTTTTAGATTGGGTTTTAGCATTTCTCTGAATTAGATGATTAAAAAATTTGTATTTTTCTAACTTTTTAAATTATCAATTCTTATGTATATAAAAGTTAATGCATAACTAACCGTGCAAATATATGCGTCAGTGACGGAATTTTCTGTGAATTGGATGATTACAGTGCTAGATGATGGAAATCAAACAAAGGAAAACAGCTTCTATGTAAGTTTTTGGAATACTGTTCATTTTGCTATTAGATATAAGTCATTTTCTTTAAATAAAGTGAATTATACCTTCTACCAAATGAAATTTATTTGAACTACTTATTTCCTTTTATATTTTTATCTGCGCCAAATGAAATATTAAAATGTTAAACAAATTTTGATATTAGCTTTGATTTTTTCGAGCATACTAAAAATCAAAGATTTAAAAGAAAGGGTTGATTTCACGGGAGACTGTACGGGAATTCCGCACTAGTTGTTCGGGGACTCCGCAAGGAGAAGTCTATGTGGAGGGTTCTGTTAGAAACACTTTTTTGCTGCCAAGTTTTCATAGTCCTACGGCGGAAACTCGGTTGCTCCCTTCATTTCACCATCTGTCAAACCTTTCATCTTCCTAAATCTTTATTTGTATACCCTTTTCATCTGATCATGAAGTTGATCACCTTGTAACAGTGTACAATTTATCAAAAAAGAAAAGAAAAAATAAAAATGGTAAATAAATTCGTTATATATCTACCAAATAGCACAAATGGTAACTCATTCGCTTGTCATTTAACTCCTCATCCTTGTTCTTTAGGTTCTTCAATGGTGGGAATGGTTTTTGCAGATTTGAGTTCTCTTTCAATTAATTCGATTCCTTCTTCTGAAGAGGGCTCCTTTGTGATACTGATACGGATGAAGGGAGATATAATAATATGTGGGGTAAAGCCTCTAATTCAAGCGATGTGTTTGGAGAAAATAATGAATCCATTGATCTAAATGCTAGCTTAAATGAAGAAGATGAGATGAACATGCATGCATTGGGCAGTGGGAAAGACACAAATGCTGGGCAATCTAAATTGTGTGCCAGTGAATGATGTAAAAGATTTACGCCCACTCCATTCTTTCCTTCATACACCAACTCTCTCTCCTTTACCGTCCTTTGATATTCACCCTCAATACAGTAAGAAAGAGAGAGAAAGCAAGGTAATGGGGGTAGAAATGACTGTGTGCGGGGTCCCCTTGCAGGGAGTCCCCACACTCCCTGCACGAAAGCAGTGCCAAAAAATCTAATTTTAAATCTTTTACTTATATTCCCACAATTTTAAATCTAATTTTTACTAATTGGCGGAGAAGATTCATGCCAAAAAATTTAATTCAAACTTTAAAAGCATAATCAACTAAGAAAACTAAAATCTTTACATCATGCTAATAAAGACACATTAAATACAATAATCGTGCAACGCACAGAGCCGACCCTGAGATTTTGGATGCCCTGTGCGAAATTTTAAAATGATGCCCCCTTCAAGTGATTAACAACATAGAGTAAAAAAAAAAATTATTTCAATAATATTATTTCATTGTAAAAATATGATATTTAAATATTTGTTTTTTCAACATACACAAACAAGAAAAACATAAATAAAGTTCAAAAGCATCTCTCGAACTTCATCAAAATTCATGTGTCATCAACAAAGAACCATCCAAACCACTAACATCTTCGTGCAATTCTATATAAGCAAACCTTGAAACAAATATATAAATCAAGTCAAGTGTAAAGTTTGAAATGCTACAAATCATGTAAAAATATTATTTCTTTCATTTTTAAAAGCAAATTCACTAATTAAACTTTCGTAATCAATATTTTTTAAAATGTCTTGCTCAATTGATATCAAAGCTAATCCATTCAATCGTTTTTGTAACATGGTTGATCATAAATAAGATTTTAATAACTTCAATTTTGAAAATTTTCTTTCAGCAAATACAACAGTAACAGGAATTAAATCAATCTTGATTCTTCAAAAACCCGTGTATCACCAATCAATGAAAAGAGAGTTAGAGGTTAGTAAAAATTCAATGAATCAAATCCATTAGTAGATTTCAATTATCAAATTAGTAATTATAAATTATGAACAGTGAACCCATTTTTACAATTAATTGATTTCACTTATTAAATTAGTAATTATAAATTATAAACGATGAATCCATCTTCAGAACGTTGAAAAAAATATTAAAAAAAAATTTATATTTTCTTGAATATTCAAAGAAATTATTGAAGAAAAAATATGCTAAGGAAACAAAAACTCACTTGTAAGTGTCCAACTACTCCGGAGAAAAATTATGTTGTGCTTTCTCAATCCTCAGTCCCCACGTTCAGGCAAAGCGAATTCAAATTTTAACAAGTTCTTACAAAAAGAATTCAAATCAATGAAATCACAGAATAAGATTGACGAAAAGATAATAAAGAAAAGATAACATGTAATTCAAATTTTCAGCAAGAGTTCAGTGGAAAATATGAATTGTCAATCGTTGCTTAAAGAAAAGAGAGAATTTTTTGGAGTCAGATTAAAGATGATTAGAAAAAAAAAGGTGATTTCTTTAAAAAAAAAAAAAAAAAAAAGGGTTGGTTTCTATCTTCTCTTCCTTAATTATCTTTGAGTCAATTTGGTTTCTATCTTCTCTGCCTCAATTATCTTTGAGACAATTCAAAAAGATGGTTGGTTTCTTTAATTCTTCTCTCCAAAAAGACGATTTGAAAAGGCCGTTGATCAATTTTTCTTTCTTCTCTTAATTCTCTAGTCGGTCTAATCTCTTTTCGACTTTTTCCTTTTCCCTCACATTAATTAAAGTAGGAACACTATTTACGAATATTATATTCAAGGAAATTATAACTAGTTAGTCACATTATTCTTAATTTATCTTTTGCATAATAATAAAAATTTTATATTTTAAATATTTAATTATAAATAAATATACGACTATAACAAATTTTTTTTTGGTGCCCGAACAAATTTGAGGCCCTCTGCGGTCGCTCAACTAGCGCACCCTCAGGGCCGCCTCTAGCAACGCACGTGGCATCGACTGGTATTATCAAATGAATTCTAGCATATCGAAAATATTTCTAAGTTAATTTCTTTTACTAGCAAATCTTGGATCATAAACATTTTGATACCTTCAAAGATTGAGACATGTACAAGATTTTTGTACAGATAAGATCGAATTTCAACCGTGCATGCATCTGTCAACTTATTTGTCAAAAATTATCTGTACAAATTGAATGCCAAATACAAAAATGTACCGAGCTACAACAACAGGAGACTTGACATGCGGTTTGACAGAATACACACATGCACAGGAGGTCAGAATTTTTTTAATCCATACGGAACCCACAACAGTTGTGAGAGGTGGTCACCGACAAGCATTTTCTTAGAGTTCAGCAAAATCCTACAAAAATGTGCAGAAAGAAATTTCTGGGATTCTTCACAGACAAAACGGTGTAAAAAAATCAGCGCACAAGATTATAATCTTCAACAGAATCCTAGACAGAGTCCACAAAAAGATTTTCTTCGTTAATGCCAATGAAGTAACAGCACATCCCTACACTTCCAAAGTCAATGTTTGACCCAGTTTATAAATAAGTAATAATTATTTTTCTTTCCAAAGTTAAAATGATACTATTTTTCTGAATCAGTAAAAATCTTCAATAATATCTCATAAAATCCACTTTTTGTCTCATTAAAATCTCTGAAATCTTTTCCAGGATATTATTCTTTCTACTAGATATAATATAAAGATTTTTCGACCCTTTTTTCCTTCTTTCTGTTTCACGATTCAGATAATTTTGCGGTTGCTCAGCTGTGCATGTAAGTCATTTTTGAAAATTCTTGTAATCGTTTGTACTTTGCAATATATGTTCAATTAAATTACTGCTACCTTGAATTTTCTTTATTTTTTGGTTGGATTACTCTAGTTTGATTTTGATGAATGTTGATAGGGCTCTGTGTGTGTATTTGAGAAGAGATTTGTGTATTTTGAGTTTGAAAGTTTAATAATTTTGGGCATGGTTTCTTCCGTATATGAGATCTAATTAAACTACAATTATGAATGTCTAAAGAGAATGCGACAATCTTAATTGGATTAAGATTGAATTATTGAAAAGGTTACTCTCTTATTCAGCTTATCAACTACGTGGTATTAAATTGATTACATTTACCCACGACTTTCATTGATGTCGAAAATTCAGCAGTAATATGACAGATGGTATAGTTCTCCTGTAAATTCTGTCGGCACAATAAGAATAAAAATCTACTCAGGTAATTTTCACCGGTGACTTAAAAAAAACATTCAAGGAAGAACTTCAATGACAGAACTAGTTATTTCTTTGTTGAATGTGTATATTCAACGATGACAAGCTTGTTGTTTTTTTATGAATCTGGATTATCAAATTGTCAATATTGATGATTTTAGCAGCAAAGACTTCTATTCTTATATCAAAACGACATTGAAAAAGTCTTTGGGAAGTTGTCTTTGAGTTTCAAAAATTGACACTTAGATATTTTCTCTAGTAAAAATAATTTATCAATGTTTAATTTATTTCCATCAATATTTTAGTGTTTGTCCCAAATGTTGAATAGAATGGAAACATTTGCACATCAGTTTACTCTAAACTTATTTTCACGCATTGAAATACGTTGTAACACTTTATAGTTCTAGACCTGAAGCAACTGAATAAGTAAATACTGCTGTATCTAAGTAGTTTTCTTTCCACCCCTTCTCCATTACCCGTATTTTCAGATCTTCAATCGATGTTTTAGTAGGTTCTCTGAAATTTTATCTGTGTCTTGATTTCAGTTTGAGATGGGTATATACCTCAGTACTCCTAAAACAGATAAATTTTCTGAAGATGGTGAGAACTCTAGGCTGAGTTATGGTCTATCATCCATGCAAGGGTGGCGTGCTACGATGGAAGATGCTGTAAGTGATTAAGAATATAATATGCTTATAATATCTGTTATGCAAGCTTTAACGGACTAAAATAACATCAGTGATAACATGTAAGCTTATTTGGTAGTGTGCTTATAAGCTGAGGGCCTATGAAGTGTGTGGACTGTAAGTGCATAGTACGAAATGTGTAGATAAAAAGTATATTTGACTAGCTCAAATTAAAATTTAAGCTTTGCTATACATGCTCATAATTTTAAGTTCTGGCGCAATGGTGGATTCGTATTGACTACTCCCGATGCTTGGCATCTGACCATCTGACTCTAGTTGGTGCTTGCTGTTGATTACAAAATAATCTATAATTGGATAATACACATGCATATGGAGTTAATTTAGGTTGGGAAATCCATACACTGTTGTCCTGATTGGGAAAGAATTAATAGTTTGATAACGTGAAATTGTGAACGATGAGGCAGATTCCATAAAGACCATAGATTAATAAACTAAAACATGGTGTACATCGAAGTCAGGGTGATGTTCTGATCTATTGTGTCTGTCTATATGTTAACACATTATCATTGCATAACTTCTATACGGTTGTTTTTGGTATAGACATATGTTAGGTGATTATAATGTGCTATAATTATTAATTTTATTTTGACTTGGGGATTTAGTGCTTTAATGTATCATATAAGTTTTCACTGACTTATCTTAATATTTTTCCTTTAGCATGCTGCAATTCCTGACTTGGATACATCGACTTCATTTTTTGGCGTTTATGATGGTCATGGGGGTAAGTCCATTTATTTCTGCTGTTGGTAATTTGCATGTTTCTTTACCATGGCCTCAGATCCTCAGCATATGGAATATATTTCTTGTCTTAAAAATATGAGCTTGTGAAGGATAAATAATCTGTTGGTTGTATGGTGTCATGGGTTGAACCATTTACTTTTATTTTATGTAGTTGAGCTTGTATTCTGAGTGGGCTAGCCCAAGGCTCTTTAGGGCTTTTTTGTTCTATATATAGTTGTATATCTACATTTGGAAAGAGGACGATGAATGGAATTGAAATTGAGGCTTTGGCTTGCACCCATCGTTTTCTCCCCTTCTCCTGGAATCTCTGCTTCTCCCGTGGCTTCTTTCCCTTTCTTCTTCTAATTCTTCTTCTCTACTGCTTAACTCTTCTTTTTCTCTATTTTCTTGTTCTTATCTTTCATCACTTAATCCCTCCCCATTCTCCTTTTATCTTAATTTGGTTCCAAGTTCAGCTAGATTACTTCATTGTTTGAGTTGTGTGAGTGGATGGTTGCGAATTGAGGTTTAATTCATGACAAAATGGTATCAGAGCAGCTACAATCTTTGGGTGTCTCTCGATTGCATATCATCAGGGAAGATTTTAATAGAATCCATGAGCAGATGATTTCAATGTTGATTGAAATTATTGAAGTTAAATCAGCTTCCAGAGATAAGTCCAACCATTATAGTTCTTCTGCGAAAATGGTCGAGGCTTTGGACGTGCAAATGGGTGATTCGGGTTCTGAATTAGAAGAGGGCCGAGTCAAGCAGGTTAGTTCATCTGATTTGAGCATAGATGATGATTCAGTTGATGCAACTACCAAGTTTGTGTTGAAGATTATTCTTCTTCTTATATAATTCTCATGTATGTAAATACGAATTTATTTTCGTCTAAGGAGAGGCTTGCGTCTGATTAGCTAGTTGGTGAGGCAATAGCTTACCAAGGCAATGCTGATAATTACATATTTTTTATTTTGTCAGAAGTCCTATCGAGACGGAATTTGTAACTTGCTCTCCATGGGGATAGTGAAATTAGGGTTACTCCTAATGAAAAAGTAAAGAATGAAAAAAATTTGGTGGGCCAAGAGAATGGATTCCATTTGAGAAATCTTGTTTGGGGTAAAATTAGAAGTCAGCCGCTGTGGCCTAGACATATTCATAATCCATTGGATGCTTTTGCTAAAGGTGAAGATGTTGGTGTTGAGCATAGTGAGAGTGGGATATATATGCCAGGAATTAATAGCAATGAAAATAGCGTTAATACAACAAGCGGGCTTAAGAGAAATATTAGGCTGCCTAAGATGGATTTTCCACTTTTTGGGGGAGAAGGACCTAGGGAATGGCTAAGGAAAGCCATAAAATATTTCCAACTTCATCAAACTCCCGATGAACTTAGATTGAAAGTTGCTTAGAAGTACTTGGAAGGGAAGCTTATATATGGTTTTATGGATTCATTGCAAGCCATCCTAGGGTAGATTGGAGTTTATTCTCTGAGGAACTTTGCAGGAGATTTTCAGAAACTATTGAGGAAGAAGTGGTTGAGACATTTAGCACAATTAAGTAACTAGGACCAAATGACGATAAAGGCTACGAGTCTGAAGAAGAATCAGGAAGGAATTGAGAATTTTGGAGAATTGGCCTACTATCAAAGAAAGGAAGAGTGAAGCTGAGATAAGTTGCTGAACTGAGTGGTGTACTACAGCTAATGTGCATTGAATCATCATTGCCTCAGGATGGAAGCAAAGGAAGTAAATTTGGGCAGTCTTTAATTCAACAGACGAACGTTGTATCCATTTCAATTAGGATGGAAAATCTGGACAGTGAAGAACATAAGTTTTTAACGAGGTACCCAATAGCATTGGGATAGAGACAAGGGATTAAGAAGACGTTTAAAACTACTGAGTAACATAGGATGGAAATTGAGTTGGGTGTGGTTGCTACTCAACTTCTACAGCAGAAATCTGAGTCCCTTCAAGTTAGGAATGTGAAGATTTCCCCTGAAACTCTTAAGTTAAGGATTTCATATTTGAAGACCAACTTTGGCAAGGAAGAATCAGTGAATGAGATTCTTAATGAAGCCTTATCTTTTAAGGAATAAAATAAGGATCATTTAGGGATTTTGTTACCAAAACTTCAGTTAGTTATACCAGGTAGGGTTGAAAATGAGTGGGTTGAGAGCCTTCTTAATTGTTCTTGGAAACCAATGGATCTAAATGCCACAATCACAATGCTCGAAGAATGGTCAAAACAATGGGATTCCTCTATTTTTGAACCTGAAATTAAGAATATAGGAGATGAAGTTTTGTCTACTTTGAGTCGACATTCATCAAGAGCTCAACATCTAAAACCTTCTACCAAGAATTCTTTTGCTAGCAATAGAGAATCCGAACTTATTGGAAAAAATGTGGGAGCTCAGAACAAGATGGATGAAGAAGAACGAGTCACCAGAGTTCCACAAGGCATATATCACCTTGAACTACTTGCTTAATCCAAGGGTGGTGAAGAGAATGATTCGGCTAATTTCATACAAAGAAGACATCCTAACTCTAAACCTTGATGATAAGGTTAATTTAAGGGGAAGGGATGTCATGGGTTGGACCATTTTTTTTTTATGTAGTTGGGCTTGTATTCTTAGTGGGCTAGCCCAAAGTCCTTTAGGGTTGTTTTGTTCTATATATAGTTGTATATTTGCATTTGAAAAAAGGACGATGGATGGAATTGAAATTGAGGCTTTGGCTTTCAGCCATCATTTTCTCCCCTTCTCCCTGAATCTCTGCTTCTCCTCTGGCTTCTTTCCCTTTTGTCTTCTACTTCTTCTTCTCTGCTGCTGTATTCTTCTTCTTCTTCTCTATTTTCTTATTTTTATTTTTCATCTCTTAATTTCTCCCCATTCTCCTTTATCTTAATTTGGTTCCAAGTTCAGCTAGATTACTTCATTGTTTGAGCTGTGTGAGTGGATGGTTGTGAATTGAGGTTTAATTCGTGACATATGGATTTGTATTTTACACATGTATATGGTTGGATTATTTCTTGTGAAAACATATAATTTGAAGATATTCTTAGTTTGGAATGAAAGAATGGATTACTTTGACTGGTCTGTCACCTGTTCTATCTATTTATTTTTTTGAATGAACTTTTCTAAGAAATAACCTGCTGAAAAACAGTGTTTCCTCAGGTACCATCACTTTTTAAGTCCTTATAAAGATCCTGCTGTACTCTTATTAATTTTTCATCAATGCGGATGGTTTGGTCAGTGAAAGTTTTCTAGGGTGATACTCAATGCATTTCATGTAAACTGTTACTGTACATGTGTTACAAATTGGCTTCTTAAATTACCACTGAGCATGGGAATAGCAATCTAAACAAAGGATGAGGAAAGGTCTGACTGAAATTGATCGGCTTCCTTGAGAATCATATGCATAATATACCATATACCTTTGACTGTAGCAAATTCTTTTGTGACTACGATGTCGGATGCAATATAAAATGGACCAAGTTGGTCATGAGATTTAATTAAGCACCTGTTCAAGCAGCATTATTTTATGTCCTTAACTTGCTCATCATGGCATGGCTTAAAAACAAGAAAATAACTATTCATTTAATCCACCTTGAACTTCTGCATTCAAGTTGCCAATTCATATTTAGTGCTTGTGTCGTGGATTGTTTTGAGATTTCAATGATTTTGATTTAGTTTGCTCTGGTCCAGTCTTGTTATGGTTTGGTTTGTTGCTTTCTGAATCTTGTTACCTAGTTCAATTATTGGGTGGAGACTTGCTTCGACATACTTTGATGAAAGATATTTATGAATGTATCCCTTGCTGAGAGAAACTCTATATACTAAAAGCAACGGGAATAAATTTGTTTTTGGTCTACCGCGCATCATTACTGGTCTTATTTCATGATCCATTTTTTTCATTTTCTTCTTCATCATCCAACACTGACTGGAATAGCTAGATGGCTAATGATAGTAAGATCATCTTGAGTAAATTGTTGGCATTTATCAAGGAAACAGTTACAGTTCAAAGTGAATCTTGTTTGTTTATTTTATTGTGTATAGAACATATCAAGTTTTCCCCCCAAAAGCTAGATTTTAGTTATCCAATTTCTGAATGGGATTCTTTGCTTGCTGTTGATTTGGCCAATAAATAAAAAAATGGGGTTGAAGAATATTTCTATGTTGTTGCATTTGAGCAAGATGGTTGAGATGATCCTGGATTTTGATCAACAGAGCAGGATATAGGATTAAGCCAACTTTTCTTCTATTTCTATTGCATGCAAGTGACAGGTCAAGATGATATTGAAATTTGATCGACGAAGAGGGATTCATAGTGGTATGCCAACTTTTCTTGTATTTTTATTGCATTCAAGTGAAAGGGTCAAGATGATCGACTATAATCAACAGGGAAAGGTGGTGTTGCTGAATTACATTTGAAATAGGTTGTGCACTTGATAAGGTTGCCTTTTGTATTGTTTTAATCTCGTTGTTTTACCAGATGATTCGGACATTATGACTTCTTTTTATTTCATTTTCAATTCTTTTTTGCCTTCTTGTGGATGTTACATTTGTTTTATGTTGACTTCTTAGCCTGCACAGTTCATTCACCTTTTTATGCTTCATTTTCGATTTGACTCGCTTGCATTGTTGGGATTGAAATTCCCTCGAATTTGGTGATTAATGGTTGTACAAGTTCTGCCAAGTCCTGCTTGGGTATTGAACGAAGGTTGTCATTATGGGCTTTATATTTGTACTCTTGTTGCTATTGAAAAATTATAGCCTTCTGTGCATAACCCTTAATATGGAGCATATGTACACCTCTCAGGGTCGAATTTTCTTGAAAGAGAGTGTTATAACTTGATTTGACAATAACTATCTTGCTAGTTCTCGTCAATACAATCGAATATTGCAGGTAAGGTGGTTGCCAAATTCTGCGCTAAATATCTTCATCAGCAAGTGCTCAAGCACGAAGCATATTTGGTTGGGGATATAGGGACATCAGTGCAGAAAGCTTTTTTCAGGTGTTTTGGAATTTTTGTTGTGCTCGAGTTTCTTGGATTAATATGGTTGAAAACAAGTTTATGTATTTAAAACTATTTACCAAGTTATTTTTTGATTGTTTATCTTTCGCTAATTAGTTTGTGGACCTGACGAAATGACAAAATGGATTAATGGAGTTGACCCCAAGTTCATCATTAATGAGATTTGGCTTGTTGCTATTCGCATTTCAGATTATTGTATATTTCGTACTACACTATTTCCAAACGTTTTATCTATTGTTCATATAGGATGGATGAGATGATGCGTGGACAAAGAGGATGGAGAGAATTGGCTGTTCTAGGAGATAAAATAAACAAGTTTAGTGGTATGATAGAGGGTTTGATATGGTCTCCACGAAGCGGCGACAAAAGTGACCAAGTTGATGATTGGGCTTTTGAGGAGGTGTTTTACTTGCATCAATTAGATAATTTGATATTGAACCACCTAATCAAAAAGTTTAAGTTCTTTTTACTATTAGTTTGGAGCTTGATATGTATTGTTGGTACAGGGTCCGCATTCTGATTTTTCTGGACCAACTTCTGGGAGCACTGCTTGTGTTGCAATCATTAGGGGCAACCAACTTGTTGTCGCAAATGCTGGCGATTCCCGGTGTATAATTTCTAGGAATGGTCAGGTACTGTGCAGTATAAAACAATTCTTTGTATTCTTTTCTGTATAGATGGTCTGGTGGAAGGTATATGTGCTCCTAAATGGATGTTTGGTTGAAGCTGACTTCTCTTCCTTTTCTCTACAGTGCTGAGATTTTTTATAAGTGCAATACATATGTGCATGTGGAAATTTCTTTCTTTTTTTCTTTTTAACTTAAAGGTCTTGAGACAAATGAATTGTGAGTATTTGTATTGATCTTTCTCATTCAGGCATACAACCTTTCAAGAGATCACAAGCCCGATCTCGAGGCTGAGAGAGACAGGATTTCAAAAGCAGGTGGTTTTGTCATCGCGGGACGTGTCAACGGCAGTCTAAATCTTGCTAGAGCTATAGGTTATTTACTAATTTGCTTGCGCAGTGTTTTTATTAAGTTTATTTGGATAGGGCATGTTTGATATACAATATTGGAAATTGGACAAGTTTAGACAGTATAATGGACAAGATTTTCTGATCTTTTTCTTGCTTAGTGCTATCTCGTGCTGTCCAATTTTCCATATTACATATGCTATTAATGTGTGCTTGGACTAGAGGCAAGACATGGTACAAGCGAATGTTGTTTCTGATTGCCTATAAGTTCTTAAATATTTTTCAGGTGACATGGAATTCAAGCAGAACAAGTTTTTACCTGCTGAAAAGCAAATTTTAACTGCCAATCCAGATATAAATATTGTATGTATCTTCTTTATTTTTCTCAAGTGTGACTGGAAGATTGTTTCTTTGGACCTCCTCTTTGTTTCAATTACATAAATATATAGTTTATGTAGTCACCTGAAATGAACCTTGTTTCCACTGTGCTTTGGTTAGCTATGAGAACCTCATATTTTGAATTATTTGACGGTTGCCAAGAAATGTTATACGATATAAATGAAACATATGTTTTTTGGAAAAATATTTCATTCTTACATTGCTTTTGTTATTTAATACTCATTGCCCTTGTTTTGGCTCCATTAAAATCAAATTTTGGGGGAAAATATAATTTGAAATAGTGACTTTTATGAAGAATGTGTTGGTTAAAAAAGAAAGAAAATTTTGAATTTACTAGTAATATTATTTTATTGGAGAATATGTAGTTGAAAAAAAAAAAGAAATATATTTTGAATCAAATGGAGCCCAAACAGGGGCATTGTAACGATCCGACGTCTAAATTCAAACGTTATATCATTCGTGTCCGCTTTGAAAGAGCATCTGCCTTCTTGCCCTTCACGGCTTTCTGTCCATCCCCAAAGATTTGAATCCAAGACTTCTGTGTTATGAAATACTTAAGTTAAATCTCGATACCAATCTAGAGGCCTAGGTCAATTGCACTCATGACCTGTAAAATGTGAAATTTTATAGGATAAAGAATTCAAAGATTATCATGGTATCCTATTTATTTGATGTATACAACTTTTTCTTGAAAAACAATATCATTTTGAGAAATTTGGATATTATAGGTTAATTAATATGAAAGTGTATGAAGGAGTGTTATCACTTCTTGCTTTTAATAACACTGTTGATTTTATTCCGTTCTGAATCTCTAACCAGGTTGAACTTTGCGATGATGACGAGTTCATTGTACTTGCCTGTGATGGCATTTGGTATGCATTCTATACTCCTCTTTTTTTCAGATTTATTATATTAAGATTGTGCACAATTGTTTTAGGCAACGCCGAAATGATTGCAGGAGAAAATTTCATACTTCAGCCCCAATTCAAGTTGGGACGACTTTGTGCTGAATTTGTTAATAATGCATTATGTGACATACATATTTTTCGTCTCTATTCCAGAATATTACTAAAAGTCTTACTTTTTCAATAATATTCGTGTAGATTCTTCTTTCCTCTGTATGACTTAATGGAATTATCAATAAGAGGTTTCGTATCTAATTAATCTGTTTCCTCTTTTTCACAATGCTTCCCAGGGATTGCTTGTCAGGGCAACAACTCGTAGATTTTATACGAGAGCAGATGAAATCTGTAAGTCCTTAGATACTACTTGAGCTGTGCAATATTGAGACCTTTACTATGGTCTTACAGTTTAGTGTTTACCAGATTTAGATAGATAGAGTGAACGATTTGAAGTTTCCTTGGTGACACAAACACTTTGTGAAACTGTCTAATCACTTCGGTTATTCATTCAAATCTACGTAGTTACATCATTAAGTTGGTTATTTAGTATTAAGACCAAAATTTAGTTCATTACAAATTATGATTTTTGGAATTGGAACCTATATCGGCAGAAAAAAGTTAGGGTAAAGGTAGACCAAAGCTAACACATTCTATGTAATTGTTAAGGATCCATTGGTTTGAGTTTTTTAAGGATTGATGTAGTCGACCCCAATTTAGTCACCAGATTATTATCAAATGATTATACAATTACCAAGTCCCTTGCTCAACTTGTTTGATTATCTACTGCTTTTGCAATTGTTGAAGTGAAAACATTTTTATCTTGTCGTTTATAGATGTCTATTATTTCTTGTTTTTTGTCTTGAGGAGAAATTTTATCTGGCCTGCTGAGGTTGATCATTTTGTTTGGTAACGTTAATTTTCATATGCAGGAGACTAAGCTTTCTGTAGTCTGCGAAAAAGTACTCGATAGGTGTTTAGCACCATCTGCTGCTGGAGGTGAGGGCTGTGATAACATGACAATGATCTTAGTGCAATTTAAGAAGCTGGTGCCGGCATGTACTTCAACGGATGATAAATCCTTTTCGTCTGAGAATGTGCAAACCGAGTCAAAACCTATGCCTGCAGATGAGAAGTTCGTGTTCGCTGAGGAAGTGCAAACCGAGTCAGAACTTACACCGGCAGGTACATCTGTAGACGAGAAATCCATGTCGTTGCAGACGAAGTCGAAACCAGCAGAAACCGAATCATAATGGCTGCAGACTTGTTCATAACACCTGATCTTTCTACTTGTATCTGCATTTGTACACAAATTTGTTGCAGCGAAAAGGATCTAACATGAGGATTTGCCTTTTGTACTTTCTTAACCCTTTTACAGTTTCTGTACCATATGCTGTCATTGAAGAAAATGTATAGATCATTCAACTACAAGTTTTGAACATCCTTAATATCTGTCTTGAAATGTCTCAAGTGGTGGATGAAAAGTTTCATGAGGACATCCTATTTTCATATCATTTTAGTTTGTTCAGTAAAGTGAGCCGTCGAACGATAGACGGTACAAAACAGTATTAAAGAGTAGAAAAAAACAGAAGTTATACAAATATTTTCTATTAAAATGATAATGTTTATCACCAGTCTAGGTTGAAAAATGAATGAAGGAGCTCATGGCCACCTAAATTGGTATTGAGCATCATTGATGATGAATACATGAACTTTCTATCATATTATCTAGTCATGTTTATTCGAACAAAGGGAGGGAAGAGATGGAATAAAATTTCCACCATTAAAGAATATTTTTTCCCATTATTTCATAGGGATAAAGATGAGGGCGTTTGCAATGAAAGATTGCTTTGTACCATTTCTTCACTAACTTTCACTGTTCGTTTTGGCTTTTTCAATTTACTAGGATAAATTTCTGTTGACATCCATTTTTCTCCTTGATTTTATGCAAAATTTACATAAAACTCGCATTGAAAGGTATATAAATTAAGTACAATTTTACACATTTCATGGAATTACTAGAAATTTAATTTTTATCTAAACCAAATACGGGCTAAGTATAAATTTTGCACTTGTTATCACTGTCAAACTAAGCCAATTCACTTTACATCCTCATTCATACAAACATGTAAAAAAGAAACTTTTCACAATCTTTACTTAAATTTAGCCAAGAAACTACTTAAAAATTGTTGGAAAATACGACGACTTCGACTTGTAATAGTAGTAGTCCAAATTACAAAACTCGACGAAGCTACTAATGTATTGATCTCTCCAAAGTTGGAAGCTAAAATGCATGAAAATAATATGCGGGACTGAAATGCAAAATATGGAATAATGCAGGAAAGAAGGAATATAGTTTGGAAGAGAGAAAAATCGGAATAATTTTTGAAATGAATATAATTTGGCATATGAGAACTTATATATAGAAATTGAAAAGTTGTGTCCAGAAGATGTGATAGTCTAAAAGTTGTGCTTTGAATGGACACGATCATTTGGAAAAGCAATTTAACAGTCAACCGCTAGATTTTAGAAAAAACCATGTGTCGCCCACCGAAAAGTCGAGGATAAATGAATAATATAAATAAATATATTATATTATTTTAGCAATAAAATAATATAATTTAAATATTATTTTACCAGAAATATACATACCAACTTGGCCCAATGACTCGTACCCTGTGCTGAGCCGATCGATTGGCGGAAATACGCGGTCGTGTGTGGGCATTGGCTCAACCTACTAGTATATAGGTCATCTCCCTTTCAAAAACTATTGATACCTCTTGGGGTCCAAACACAAATCCCAAACTCGAGCAATATAAAGCGGTTTTTATTTTTTTTAGTTTTCCTATGTGTGATTGACATTTTACAATTTCCTACCAATTTTTATTCCCAATTATTTCAACTTTCATGTGATCATCTTTTGGCCTTAATTTCTCATTCACCCTTAATTGGTTTTGATACAATAAATACACTCATTAATCCACTCATGGAGTAGAATACGCTCTACCAAAGAGATCTTTTGTCCCACTAATGGAACCCACTAAAATAATTTGTCAAAAGTTGGTCAAACCAACTATCTAAAACAATTTATCCGACAAAACTTTGATTTGGATTACCCTAGTTTAAGCATATGAAACAAGTGTTGCAAATGAATGCCAAACACTGAATACACAGCTGACTTTTGCAAGCTAATGAGTTAAATGCTAATTGCTGGCTACTTTTTGAATCTAGGGAGAGCCTCTTCAGTTTCCACCCTCAATTTTCAATGAAGTGGTCAATGTATTTACAATCGTGCTGCTGTGACAGGGAGGGTCCTCCCGGACCTACTCTCACATTTGGGGTCGGTGGCCCTTTTCTTTGAATTTTAAATTCACCTTAGGTCCCACGTAGTCCCGCAGCCATGTGAGTACCTGTCAAGGAGGTGGGTAAAATTTTCTTAGCAGACTAGCTTAATTCATGTATTTATTACAACTTCATTTTTATCATCCGTATATTGTAGGATTGGGAGGTAGGTCATATACTCCTGTACTTCGATTCTAGCTAATGGAAAATACACTCTTCTGCCAATAGACATTCACGTTGAGAAAATAAAAAAATCATCGCGAACCCATAAAGAATAGGGCTTGGACTAAAATGAATAATAACATTGATCGGTATACAACCATTCTCATGAATACGACTCAAACAAAATGATCCCTCAAGGACGAGCAACGATAGGAAGTGATAGCATTTTATTTGATGAATCTATTTTAGTTTTCTAACTTGAAGGCAATCAAGAAAGTGGGACTCTCTGGAATTATATTGCTTCAAGTCTAATCATGTTCTAAGAAAACAATTGTGCACTAATGTCAAATGCCTTTTTCAACTGATAGATTCGGAAGGCAATCAATAAAGTGGTACTCTAACCAACAATGGCTACCCAATAAATTCGGAGAAAAGATTCCAATTTTTTCGTCAGTGACAATGGAGTCTAAGCTCAAAACTCTAGCTCCAACCCCCGCTGGCTCTCTTCCCAAACCCCTCATGCCCATCGACGATAACTGTCCACTTCCCATTCCGGCCCGAAAACTCCCCAAATCCATTCCCTAGTGTCCACTCCGAATAATGAAGAGATGGAGAAGAAGCATGCGGTGTATATGGTTTGGCATGGCTTTTGAAAAGTCAAAATGAGCTTTTAAAATCCAAAAGCTACTTTTGGACCGGTTTGGCTAATTTTTTATATTTTTGATAGTTAGAAGAGATGTCAGATGAAGTTGATTTAATATGGCTTCTTCTAAAAACACTTCCGAAATGGAAAGTGCTTTTATATATTAGTTTTCAAACAAAAATTAAGATAGTTTTTTCCAAAAGCTCTTCTACAAGAAGTAAAAATTATGTCAAACGGGCCCTATGTGTACAGGGACAATGGACAGGGGAGTTGCCTTGGCCTGAAAATTTGTTACTTGCGCTTGGCCTCTTTTTATTGGTTCCAATAAGAGTAGTCACGTCGATGAGTATATTACTAATTGGGAAATGCTGGGAAAACAGGGGGCTGACCGCCCCCCTGACAGAAACCCCACAATAGGTATTGTGGGGTTTCTGTCAGGGGGGCGGTCAGCCCCCTGTTTTCCCAGCATTTCCCAATTAGTAATATACTCATCGACGTGACTACTCTTATTGGAACCAATAAAAAGAGGCCAAGCGCAAGTAACAAATTTTCAGGCCAAGGCAACTCCCCGGTCCATTGTCCCTGTACACATAGGGCCCGTTTGACATAATTTTTACTTCTTGTAGAAGAGCTTTTGGAAAAAACTATCTTAATTTTTGTTTGAAAACTAATATGTAAAAGCACTTTCCATTTCGGAAGTGTTTTTAGAAGAAGCCATATTAAATCAACTTCATCTGACATCTCTTCTAACTATCAAAAATATAAAAAATTAGCCAAACCGGTCCAAAAGTAGCTTTTGGATTTTAAAAGCTCATTTTGACTTTTCAAAAGCCATGCCAAACCATATACACCGCATGCTTCTTCTCCATCTCTTCATTATTCAGAGTGGACACTAGGGAATGGATTTGGGGAGTTTTCGGGCCGGAATGGGAAGTGGACAGTTATCGTCGATGGGCATGAGGGGTTTGGGAAGAGAGCCAGCGGGGGTTGGAGCTAGAGTTTTGAGCTTAGACTCCATTGTCACTGACGAAAAAATTGGAATCTTTTCTCCGAATTTATTGGGTAGCCATTGTTGGTTAGAGTACCACTTTATTGATTGCCTTCCGAATCTATCAGTTGAAAAAGGCATTTGACATTAGTGCACAATTGTTTTCTTAGAACATGATTAGACTTGAAGCAATATAATTCCAGAGAGTCCCACTTTCTTGATTGCCTTCAAGTTAGAAAACTAAAATAGATTCATCAAATAAAATGCTATCACTTCCTATCGTTGCTCGTCCTTGTTTAATAATTGCGTGGGGAGTGACTCAAACCCCTGATGTCCCATACAAATGCCACATTTCCCATCGCTTGAACACTTCATCTAATTTGATTATTTTTTTCACATTTCATATTTATACTATAAATATATAACAAAGTCTAGGTTATATCTTCCCGTTTAAAAAAGATGAAATGAATTTGGAATTACCTACTTTGAAGTATTCCAACTTTTGCTATCGTTGACCATTTCGTACGCTGTTAATGATGCGGGAAACTAGGCTATGAGAAATTTGAAATGATAATAAAAAATGCAAGGTTTAATCTTTAACCGCATCTTACCCGAAGCCCTTAAAATTGCTGCCGTGCAAGGTGACCCAAAATCTCAAGCCTGTGATGATAATGAGAAGACGAAGCTAGGCTGTAGCTCGAGTTATTCGTCCTCAATCTCGACAAGGCAAAGGCAGTTGTCAGCGTCTTCCCTGTTTAAAGGTTGCTTACCATTGTGGGATTTAAGGTCTACAAATGGCTCACCAAAGGGGGGAGAAAAAATGTTTCCATGTTCCATAGAATCGGTTTCTATTACGAAATATTACGAAACTGATGTAACTTCAAGAGATTGAAACAGAAATAATAGGATAATGAAAATTATAGATCACAAAGCAATAACTCACCACTGAAATAGAGTCCCATGCAGGGCTAAATATCTGGTATGTATACCTTAAAATGACAGAAAACACACGATGTAGTCTCCGTTTGTGGTTATCCGTTCTAAATTAAAATAAATGGAACTGTTAAGACATCTATAGAATCTGAACCTCACATGAGCAGTTTGCACAGTATTTAACTACACAAAACACCATATATTGACTACAGATATAAATTCCGTCAAAAGTTGGTTAGATAAAATACATCCAAATTTATTCAATACCAAAGAAACTTGCTTTGCTAATTATCCTCACACGCACAAGGGTTACAATTCTTATATCATACAAATGCTCCATGCCAGGTTTTCCAGACATTTTTTTTTTTAACGAGACAACTTTTGAAACGTATTCAAAATAATAATATAATATTTTTCTTAGTTATGATTTTTTCCACATGATTTTTCATAATAAGGTTTTAACAAAATATATTTTTTGTGTAATGAATATACATGATATTTACCCTCAAAATAATACTCTGATATATATATAACGCTCAAGATATTTTCTACATTATAACGCTCTTAACCTCTTTATTTCGGATTTTATGACTAAAAAGATAAAGTAATCCTCTGAGTTAAGCTAAACTGAAGAACTCAATTTGCTGAATGGTAAAGTAATCTAAGACCATTACAAACATATTGATCTTTTGTTCTAATATTTTATGACATTAGACAATTATACATCATCTACTTTGCTTGTTGTTCAGTAGAAAGTTTTAAAGAATTTATTAATATTTATTTAAAAAATTGAGAAATTCATAAAATATTTGTTATAGAAAGCCACATATTATCTGTCTTAAATAGAAATAGAGGTGACTTCTCTTCACAAATTAAAAAGCAAATCATTGAGCGATTTAATTCTCAGTGTCGGAGTTTCTTAATAAAAGATCTTGAAGATTGTTAAAAAAAGGGGGGGGGGCATAAAATTATAAGAGAAAATAAAGATAAAAATAGTAGGATTTCCTTTCTAAGAGATTTTTTTTTTTTATTTTAAAGATTTTGTTATCATAATAGATTTTTTGTTATATTTTTTCATCATTTTCTTCATTTAAAGACTTTTTCTTACGAATTTAATTAAGCAAAAGACTTTTTTACTAACTAGAATTTAGTTAGAATAAGACTTTTTCCTTTTAGAATTTAATTAACAAGACTTTTTCTTACTACAAAATTTTCTCACTTTAATAAGTATCTACGTAAAGAAGTTTTTAAAAGATTTTTTCTTACTTGTCATTTTCTTACAAGATTTTTTTTCTTAGTTTTCATTTTCCTACAAGAAAATGTCATATATGTATGACTCTTGAAAAAATCAATAAAAATTATTTTTCGAATCAGCATGGTACTATAGTCATTGAAGGTTGATAAAATATATCTTATGAAGATGGTATTATTTGAAAATTGTACAAGACAAAATGAGATATACTTCACTAAATTTGCAATATTGAAAATATTGATATACAAGACATAGATAGCTTGATATAAGAATTGAAATCAATGAAACTAGCTGTAATCTTTTTTCTTTGATCAAGTTTTGTCCCAATGATTTTTTTTGACAAAGTTTTAACGAGCTAAATTGTATTACTCCAAATTATTTTTACTTTTTTTTATTTGTTGGTATTTTTTTTCCATCAAGCTTTTTGCCAAATAACGTTCCAATGAGATAGTTATTGTAAAAATAATTATAAAAGGGTGAGTAGTATAAAACTATAAAATAAATATTGATGATTATATAGTCTCGTCATTATGCATAGATAAACTTTATCTAGTTTGAAGAGTTTATATCATTTCAATTATAAGAGCCTGTTTGGGAGTGATTTTGAGAATTGATTTTTTGATCGTTAGGAGAAAAGTGGGGTCCACCTTAAAAGAAGAAGTCAAATATGATGGCTGAAATAGTGAAATAACGATTAAAAAATCAATTTTTTTGGTGAAAAAATTGGGCCCAAACAGACCTTAACTATTATTTTGAATCCTATAAATACGGGTCTTGATTATCAATAAGATATATATATATATATATATATTTCTAGACTTTTTTTTTTCCCTTCTAGTTTTTATGACATGCCTAAAATTAAAAGGATTATTCTTGTTTACTAGGGCCTATTCATGCCAGGGCCAGCTGGCATTATTAGGGCCTATGTAGCTGGGCTAAACTAGTATGAAGGCAAAATCGCCTTTGGAACAGTACGCTGCAGCCATTTATCTCTGCCCTTCTTTTTTCTGCGCCATAGCCATTACAACAATGTTCCCCTCCAACACAATCTCTCTAAGCCACCAAGTCCAAACCTTCCAAGAATTACATTCTCACACGCACGTTTCTTTATCTATTCACTCTATCCTCAATGGCCCAGTAGTACTAGAATTTATGCCTAAAAATATATATATAAGAAAACTTGTAAACAAAGAAGGAATTAGGATGGGAAGATACTGGAGGTGGAGATACAAAACTTGTCTCCTATTCACCTCCAACCACACAAGCCGCTTACCCCCATTGTCTTCTATATGCAATTTTATTTCATGCCCACAAAATTTTTTTCCTATCACTTAATAATTTGAGTTTACGAGTGTTAAAAAGTCTGAGATTTTTAGACTTTTTTGACCTAGGACTTGTGGTTTTCTAGGAATTTTTTTGGGTTTCTTGGTTCGTGTGTGAAAGTTCGAAGATTTTTTTTTTTTTTTTACCTGGCCTTTTTGTGTTTTTGTGGGATTTTAGTTGTGGGCATTAGAATTTGAACTAGACGATGAAAAGGGTTTCTTCGGATTTTCATCAATTCCATACTGTTAATGATGAAGCCAAAGCAAAGCTCAAATATCAAACACTGGCGAATGAATTTTTGGAATTGCAAAAGGTTAGTTTTTGTTTTTATTTTTTTGCTGTTTTAGGTTTTTTTTTATTAGGATTTTTAACTTGATTCTTATCTGTTGTTTGATCAAGCTTTTTATTTATTTATTTATTTTTTTTACTGATATTTATTTTTCATGCCCATAAACATAAATTATTACCTGATATTGTTATCAGGAATTTTTTTCGAAGAAGAGGAAATTGAAGGCTGCAAAGCATAAAAGAGATACATTTTTTGCTGAAGTTAGGTATGAATTTTGTGTAGCCAATTTGAGTGTTTAATTGTTTTCCGTCTTCACAGTAAAAAGAAAAAAAGTAGAATAATGATTGGATTGTCATTGTTTATTGAACATTGTAACTGATGAATTTCAGATTTTTGAGGCGAAGACAAAAATATTTGTATAGAATAAAACATTCAAATAAGGGGAAAGATCTTCTCCGTTTGCCAAATTCAGATGAAGAAATCAATGTCGCTGAAGAGGAAAGAAATCTTAGCTTCCTATGAAGCCGCACCTGGAAAGTCAGACTCGGTTCTGGTCTCAAGGTCACACATGTTAATCAAATTCTTTTAACAAACGCAGATAAATAAATTCGTAGTTAACATTAAGCCTAAATTGATTATTATTTAATAAAAAGCTCCTTTTATACAATGTTACAGAAAACTGAGGAGGTTGGAGGACAAGACCAGGTTCTTGAGAAGGAACAAAGATTTGCCAATAGGCTGAAGAATGGCTTAATTCACGATAAAGCAGTCGACGAGAGGAAGATCTCACGGTATGATCTGTTCACTCTTCAGGTCTAATGTCCGCATATTTTTCCAGATAAAGAACTTAGTAGTGTTTACTTGCCAGAAGTAGTTAATTGTTGGTCTCCATTTTTCTTTAAATTTCTGATCCAACAAAATTTTTTATACCAACGTTCTCTAAATTTAATAAAATCTTGATAATCAAAATTTAGCTCATTGTATATAGGAGTTGTTTGCCTATCATTATACCACATTCTACCATATTATCTTCTACCGTACTCATTTTCAACCACACATTCTTCATTAAAATAATATTATACGTAAATCAAAAATTTTTTCTTCTTTTTTAACCACACATTTCAACATTGATCACTATTCCATAATACATTACCCACAAATAATGGGACACAAATACCCCCATAGTCCTTGTTTGGCCCGGAAAATTTTTTGATTTACGTGTAATTTTGTTTTATTGAAAAATGTGTAGTTGAAAAGAAAAGGCCCAAACAAGAGCATAGGTTAAGAACCCACTAAAAGGCAGACATTTTGGAATTTCATTAGACAAATGTAATCTCAAGAGATATGTAGTAGATAGGCTAATTAACATGACTCGTCTCGAATAATGGACCTGACACGTGTGATATGCCGATGGTAGATATCAGCTAAGTGTTGTATCTACCACCAAGGCAACTGAACTTTTAATTCTTTCAACTCTGCTGGAGGTGGTTGTGAAATTGGAATAGTTCCTGGGATCAAATAAATGGTAAACTCAATTTCTCTATTTGGAGGTAACCCTGGAAAATCTAAAAGAAAAACATCAAAGAAATCTCTTACCACTGTTATATCATCAAATTTTAGCTTAATGATTTAGGTGTCAATCACATAAGCTAAATATGCATGGCAACCTTTCCTAAGCAATCTCCTAGCATCAAGTGGGGATATAATACATGAAGGTAATATTTTTCGTTCATCACTAAAAACAATTTCAGGCTTTTTTTGGCCTTCTAAATGCTACCTCTTTGCGGAAACAATCAACGGAGGCATAATTTGTAGCTAGGAAATCCATGCTCAATATTAGGGCTGGGCAAAACCCAACCTAACCCGCTCAACCCGATCAACCCAAACCAATTCGATCGGTTTGGGTTGGTTTTTTAAGTTCAATTGGGATGAAAAATATTTTTGAGGTTGGGTTGGGTTTCGGGTTATGATTTAAAACCCAACCCAACCCGATAAATTAAAAATAATAATATCTAAGATGAAAAAAAACCTAAATAAAAACAATAGTAAAGATATGAAAATGACTTATAATTTATAAACGTCCATTTTTTTTATTTTTTTTTTTATATAGATTGATTTCTATAAACATAATTTACAAATGAAATGTTATTTCATAATAAAGTAAACATTAAGAAGATAATGATGAAATGAATAAATCCCAAAAAATTGTAAAAAATAAATAATAATAATAATAAATACTTCATAAATTTTAAACTTATTTATACATCATTTTTCAAAAAGAATTCCTTACATAGGTATTTAAAAAGAAAAAACAGAAATTTTCAAGTAATTTCAAACTTTAAAAACTTTGATTGGACCGAAGCCCAAACCGACCAACCCAACCCAAACCAACCCAAACTTGATCGGGTTGGGTTGGGTTGGGTTTAAACTATTAATTGGGTTGGGTTGACTTTAAATAAAACCGACTATGTTGGGTTGGATTTGGGTTCGGGAAAAAACCGCCCCAACCCAACCCATGCCCACCCCTACTCAATATCACATCAAAATCATGAATATCAAGTGGAATCAAATTAGTTTTCAACTCCCGATTATTCACTCTAATCACGCAATCTTTGTACACACTGTTGAGTGAATGATCAAGAGTTGAAAGCTAAAATAGTATGTACAAGGATTGTATGATTTGAGTGAATGATCGAGAGTTGAAAGCCAATTTGATTCCACTTGATATTCATGATTTTGATGTGACATTGGGCATGGATTTTCTAACTGCAAATCATGCATCCGTTGATTGTTTCCTCAAAAAGGTAGCATTTAGAAGGCCAGAAGAGCTTGAAATTATTTTTAGTGGTAAACGGAAAATAACATATCTGTACTTGATACTAAGAGATTATTTAGGAAATGTTGTCATGCATATTTAGCTTATTTGATTGACATCCAAATCACCGAGCTAAAACTTGATGATATACTAGTGGTAAGAGATTTCTCTTATATTTTTCTTGAAAATCTTCCAAGGTTGCCTCCAGATAGAGAAATTGAGTTTACCATTGATTTGATCTCAGGAACTATCCCAATTTTACAACCACCTTATAGAATGGCTCCAGTTGAATTGAAAGTTTAGTTGCCTTGGTGGATTCGACACTTAGCTGGTATCTACCATCGGCGCACGACATATGTTAGGCCTGTAAGAGTGATTCGAGATGGATTGTGTCATTAACATAATTTTTGGATAAGTCCTCGTCTAAATAAATAAGTATATTCTATATATGGTTATCAATCGACAATCATAAGTCTAGTCCGTATCCGTAAATTTTGCAAATTTACGTGAAAAAATGACTATTTTTGTTGTGAACATGCCTCTTTTGAAAATATGATCGCATTTTTTACCTCTATTGAATTTTGTGACTTTTTGGTGCCTTTTGATGTATTTTTACCTTTTCCAATTCTTTTCAATGCAGTTTGTGCAATTATCAATGGTATTGATACTTATGTTGTTTTAGTATAAACACTTTTTTTTTATTTTATCGTACTTTTTGTAATTCATGGAGATGACATTCCACATGTGGCTTTTGTGTGGGAATGGAATCGTGTTTCATTAGTGCACTTCCATTCCCACATTTGATAGTTGATTTGTGTCACAAGATTGACAAAGTTTTATGTTGTCTGTCGACCTTTTCCCTGACCACATGGGTTTCCTGTCACCGAACTCTTGGGATTGAAACCTATCAAAATAACCTTCGAACATTTATAGAATTGAAAAAGTGTTTCATTATCTTCTTCCTTCGCCACCCCCCAAAACCATCAAATTCATCCACTGAGCATGCACTGCAATTCTAAACATCATACACATATTGACACAGCCTTCCATTCACTGATGGCAGCTGCTACCAGTCCATGTCCCTGTTGCCTCTCATGGTCACTTAACTGCAGATTTTCATCTATTACAGTTCTCCATTTCTATCACCAAAAGAAGTAAAAAATCGAAATTGAAATATTGATTTATTCCTTCCTTAGTTCATACCAAACATGGGATATCCTATGTTGATGGCATCCTATTCTGGTAGTCATTTGGTTTCTATCCATTTTCATACTGTAAACAGTATACCCAATGCTACTTCAAAGAGTTTGATAGCAAATTGTATGGATGCGAATGGTATTTTAAATAAAAATGGATTAGACAAAATAGAGAGTTTATCATGAAAAAGAAGTTAAAATATTGTATTTTATAGTGTGTGTACAATCTACTTCCTGTGTGTTTAGTTATTATTCTATATGAAAAAAATAAAAAAATAAAAAATAAATAATAATAATAATAATAATAATTTACCCTCCATCTCTTCCCTCTTAGTTCGAATCAAACCTTTTAGATGTACACGACTAGATTATATATAGTGTGATATAGATTATGTATAGTGTAATATGTATACATCATCATTGGCGCTGAATGCCAATTTAGGTGGCTATGAGCTCCTTCGTTCATTGTTCAACCTAGACTAGTGATGAATATTATCATTTTAATAATTGTTTAACTTTTTTTCTTCTTTAATACAATTTTGTACCGTCTATGCTCGACGGTTCACTTTATTGAACAAACCAAAAGGATATGAAAACAGGGTGCCTTCATCCACCATTTAAGACATTTTAAGACAGTTATCAAGGATGTTCAAAACCTGTAGTTGGATGATCTATAACTTTTCTTCAATGGTAGCATATGATACAGAAACTGTTAAAGGGTGAGAAAATACTGAAGGCAAATCCTCGTGTTTGATCCTTTCAGCTCCAGCAAATTTGTATACAAATGCAGATCCGAGTAGAAAGATCAGATGTTATGAAAAAGTCTGCAGCCATTATGATTCGGTTTCTGCTGGTTTTGACTTCGTTTGCACTTTCTCAGCCGACGATGACAGGCGTTAGTTTTGGCTCGGTTCGCACTTTCTCAGACGACAAGGATCTATCGTCTGTTGATGTACATGCCGGTGCCAAACACCTAAAGAGTACTTTTTTTGCAGACTACAGAAAGCTTATTCTCCTGCATATGAAAATTAACGTTACCAAACCGATAAATCAACGTTAGGCACAACGTGCAAGATAAAATTTCTCCTCAAGATGAAACGAAAAATAATTATCTATAAAACGATAAGATAAAAATGTCTTACTTTCACACGAAGCAGCAAATAATCAAACAAGATCGAGGTTGAGCAATGGACGTGGAAATTACATAACTGTTTGATAATATTCTGGGGATCAATTGTGGTTGATTACATGAATCCTTAAAGACTCAAAACAATATATTCTCCTTTTTTTTTTTTTTTTAACGAGGTGTCCCAGCTTGCGCCAGATTATATCCTCGTCCCAGAACCTTCGGCCCCTCAGCTGCTCAAGGAGGTAAATCGCAGGATGTGCTCTTGTTGGTTTCCAGATTCCCACATGACTTTTACTCCTTCCCCAAAGGGAGCCTCCTCTATGGTGATTAATCTACCAATAATTCCTCCTTTATTGGATCAAAGGTTTCCACCAGGAATCGAACTCCCCACGCTTGGTTTCAGAGCCCCCCAATGTGATTGTTCCGCCAACTTGGGTGTGCCCTGGGGGACCAAAACAATATATTCTTTACAATTCCATGGGCTGCTCTAACTGAACTCATATTAGACATCTCAGATTTTTTTTACTCTATAAACTCATATTCTCAAGTGATAGGAAAAAGAATTTGTGGGCGTGAAATAAAATACGATATAGAAGACAATGGAGTAAGTGGTTGTGTGGTTGGAAGTGAATAGGAGACACGTTTTGTATCTCCTTGAGTCATGTCCAATTAGAATTGTTGCATCGATTTTAGATATGGCCTAGTCTCTTAAAATATATATATTTTCCCCAAATGATCACCAAAATTTTCCAAAGTTTTCCACAAGATCACTAAACTTTGCCAATGATTTCCATGGGGTCACTGAACTTAACCAAAGGTTCCCATGAGGTCACTAAACTTTGCCAATGACTCCCTAGGTAGTTACTCAACTTTGTAGTTGTCCACCTCATTAGAAATTTGCTTACGTGACCAAAAAAATTGCATACAAACATACCACATCACTTGCTCCGTTTAAAGAGTCATCAAAATCATTTGATTTTGCAACCAACGTTAGGTCAGCTATGGATGAGGTCCCGATTTGCCAAATTCAGTGACTGCCTAGGGAAGTTTCGAAATTCTGTAACCCTGTGAGAACTTTTGACAAAGTTCAGTGATCATTTAGGAAACTAACCCGAATTTTACAAATGAAATATTTATGTATTGTATATGAATGTAGTTTTTAAGTCTTGAATCTTCTATTCATCTCCTACTCAAATTTTGTGTTAAGTTTGCATTTGTACTTCAGTCAAATTTCAAGTCTCACAGTTACTAATTTATTAGAACTTAACTTCCCAAGCCACTAAAGAAAAATAAAGTTATTGAACATGATAGAGCATTTTCTATATGCTAGTAAGAATGTTTAAACAATATAATCACAAAATGTAAAAATCGCATATCTTGATACATAGCTCATTATTAATAAGTAATAAGTTCATTCACCCGTGCTTGTAACTGTAAGAATTTTGTCCTATATTATTAAAATTTATATGCTTTTATCTAGCATTAAAAGTGAAGAAAAGAATAAATAATTTAACCTCTTAAGATGACATTGTTTGAATCTCAATGCCAGTAAAACTATTAGAAGATAGGAAAGCTAGACAAATAATCCACACTTATATAAAGTATCTCAATTATAATTCAATAAAAAAAAAAGTACGATCAGAACAAAAAAGTTCAAAAAAAGTACACAATTGGACCATCTAGTAGTACATGACAAGCCACATTTCCTATACAAACGACTATTTTTACTCGGTATATTTGGAATACGATGGATTGAATAGAATTGAATAAGATAAGACAGAGGCATTTAAGTCATTTTTCTTTTGATTGTCCAGCCTTGTGTAGGCACACAAACCAACGGATAAAGGATTATGGTACTGTATTGACTTGATAAACTAAATAGTAGCATCTAATTATCTCCTCTGGAAGTTGAATGCCCTGATGGAATAAGCAAAGATGAAGGTGAAAAGGATGACAAATCCGAGAATTATGCCAGCAACTGCTCCAAGAAAATCATGTTTGTATCCGAAATAACTTCTTATGAACTGTTCCACTGTTCGGCCATCCTCGAGCTGATCCTGTACATCCCCAAATTGTGATACTACGAAACCGTACAAGCTATAAGACACGGGGTTTCCCCAACAGTACCATCTCCACCATACGGGCATACTCTGTTAATAACGTCAGAAGCATTAGATATGACTTGTTTGGTACGCAGGATTTCACAGTACTTGACAGTATTAAAGAAGAAAATAAGTTAATGAAAAAATATGTGTTGCTACAACTTACAGGTCGTGGGACGATAAATCCGGAGAACAGGTTCCAGAATGCATAGAAGAAAGTGGAGATAATGGCAGCGATGTTGTGATTTGGAGTGACAGCCACGGTCATCATACCATAGAGGACGAAATACAATAATGAGAAGAACATGAAGAACGCATACCACAAGAATTTTTCAGCTGTCCATTCGAGGCTCATCATCGAATAGACAATGCCACTATATATAATCGATTGAATGAAAACGTATGGGATTTCAATGAGAAACTGCAACAAATGAGAAAAATTTGTAAGCAAATCTCAACTTCAAAGAATTACACAATGTGTTCAAAAACATTGGTGAAATGATCGAATTGTATCAAAATTTAATTTTAGTGACCAACATGAAAGTTTTGAGTTTTAACTGGTTTAGTTTATCACCTGACTGTAGGCATACGGTAATGCAGAATACATTCCTGCTGCTCTCTCTCTATAAAAGACTGTTCGTTCGACTGCCACCACAGGCTGTACTGTCGAACCGTATTGGAACCCCAAAAAGAGTACAGAAGCATACATTGAGCCCATAGCATTAAACAAGTCTTGTTGTGTATCCCTACATCGAAAATAAGTATTTTATGTTAGTAAGAAAGGTCACTTGGAACATCATGATAGCCAAACATTCACATACCTTTTCGAGCCAAGGTCGAAGAACATTGTCCCAAATGTCAGGGCTATGAAAGTTGTGAACATAAATCTGACAGCAGTATAAGGCGTATTACGCCAGTATGACCAATGTTGTTTCCACAAGCAAGCCACACATTGAGTGATGAAAGATTGAGAATATTGAGTAGGGAAATACAGGTCCTTTGTATTGGGACGAGGGACGCTTAATTCCTTAATCAATGCTTTGTTCCTCCTGCAATGTTTACACCATATGATGAACACGATTAGCTTACCACTCAAAACTTTGACGCAGATCAAACACATTGATTTTCATGTGAACGAACTAACTTGTATAGTTCTGAGTTTTTGTACAGGTCAGCAAAATCAACTCCCAAAAGTAGTTCTTGCGCAGAAGAAGTAACTTCGAGCATCCAAGTTGCTGGATTGTAACTGTCTTTAATTTTAGTTACTCCTTGAATTCCCTCGAAATAACTGATCAAATGGGTTGAGTGGCGACCCAGTGGTCCAACATATATCTCTTGCCCTCCTCGTTTCATCAAAAATAGCTACAAGATCACATTACAGTTAGTAACTCATTCATAGCTAATAACATGAATAGTAAGTATATCTATATATTAACTATCGTACCTCGTCAAATGCTTCAAATATGTCGATGCTAGGTTGATGGATAGTGCATACAACTGTTCGTCCAGTGTTCACTGTATTTCTGACAGTTCTCATCACAATTGCAGCAGCTCGTGCATCTAACCCGGAAGTTGGCTCGTCCATGAATATTATCGAGGGGTTAGCTACAAGTTCGACTGCAATAGTAAGCCTTTTGCGTTGTTCAGTCGAGAGACCACTGACGCCCGGCAACCCAACTAGTGCTCCTCTTAACGGGGTAAGTTCTACAAGCTCCATTACCTCCTCAATAAACATCTGCAGATAATAGGTGAAAAGTCAAAATCAAATTATCAATCATGAGTTACCATGATGAATCCCTTCTAGTTTAAGATCTACCAACCTTTCTAGTTTCAGAATTGACATCTCGAGACAACCTTAACCAAGCTGAGTAAATAAGGGACTCGTGAACAGTAACATTAGGTGAATGGATGTCGTTTTGTTCACAGTATCCCGAAATTCTAGCAAATGTTTCTTGATTCTTTGGGTACCCCGAAATTTTGATATCACCTTCAATATATCCTCCGGTTTTTCGGCCTGCTAAAACGTCCATCAAAGTTGTTTTACCAGCCCCACTAACGCCCATCAAAGCTGTGAGAACTCCTGGCCTAAAAGCTCCACTTACACTCTTCAAAAGCTCCAATTTATCTTCAGCAGCGCCTTGAGCTTTCATTTCCTGCAAGTCAATTTTGAGATTATATTGAGGGTCATCTGTTACTTCGATTCACCACATAATATGCACATCGTTTTAAGAATAAATTCTTATAACTAAATATGTTCTTTGATTAATAGGTTGAACTTTGAGATAAACTGATTCAATTATCAGTTCTAGTCTCACCACTGCCCATTTATGAAAAGTTGTGCACGTGCCAGGTTTTTAATAAAAGAATATATTTGGACAGCATGTGGCGGAACATGTTTGAAGCCTTAAATTAAATAAATGAATGTATCACCTTTGTGACAACTTAAACTTATAGATGAAGTGGTTCAACACCATATAACATCTCGTAATAAAAGAATATATCAAATTTTCAAGATTACTACGTACCGCTGGCATGTCAACGGAGTATCTAACGTCATCAAAAGTGATGGAATGTGGTTCGAATGGAAGAATCATTCCCCTTTTTTTATTCTGAGTGGCTTCAATGGCATCTGTCCTCATGGATGAGGATTCTGAGGAAATGCTTCTCCGTGTTCTATCATCGCCTTGAGCTGGAACTTGGCTCACATATCCACCTTTTGGGACATCGTCTTCACTTTCTTCTGGTAATACAGCTTGAGGCTTCTCGAATGCTGCAAAATTTTCGAACTTTATTAATTCTTGAACTTAATTGAGAAAATTCTTCAAAGTATGGAGAGGAGAGAAACTCACGGTCGAGAAACGTGAGAGCAAGAACAAAGAGGATGTTGAATATCCATACGAAGCCAAATAATGCCCCAAATCCGAGCCAATACCAATATGCTTGAGGAAAGAATCCTCGAGACCTCATCACCAAAACTCCCAATTCAGTTCCATTTATTATCTTTGAGATACAAAAAGAAAATCACAGTCAGCTGACGCAGTTAGTGTGGAAAACGTGATGAAAATTCACAGTGCATGTTTTTTTATTGTTATGCAATACCAAAAAGGACTGGATAGTATATTGATCAAGATTTTTAGATTTTTTTTTCTTCATTAACACTATCTAATACTATCTGTTCCTCCCTACCAGACATGCCATGAAAGTACAGGTGAATGCATTCACTTACTCTACTCCAACTGTGCCCAGTAAACTCATTGACGAGAATTGCGTTCTGTGCATACATCAATGGAGAGGACCAGTAACCCCATATCCACCAACCCTTTACTTCTTCTGTAACGCCAACCAGAATTTATGATATGAGAAAATAGATTATATGAATATATACATAATCTATTTAAACATTCAATTTTCATTGTTTTTTTACCTCTTGACAGGACAAAACCACCTAATGCAAAGAGTAGGAGCAATGAAAATAGGCCAAATGTGTTTGCTATAATCATATTCCTCCCCATTGCCCCAATAAATCTGAATAATGCTCCTGCTGCCTGATGGAGCAACAAAAGTAGCAAGTACTGCTTGAAAAACCTGCAAGAAAGAATCTTAATTAATAGTTATTTCAAGATCAGGTTACTCTTACCAATGGGACCTATCTAAAGTATACACAATCCATGTCTCAACCTGCAGTATTTGACACAATTAGATAGTATAATGAACAATTTTAGCTTCTGGTTCTTTCTTAAGATTGTTATTACTATCCAAGCCTCTCTACCAAACATGCTACAAATGTTTAATNTTCACAGTGCATGTTTTTTTATTGTTATGCAATACCAAAAAGGACTGGATAGTATATTGATCAAGATTTTTAGATTTTTTTTTTCTTCATTAACACTATCTAATACTATCTGTTCCTCCCTACCAGACATGCCATGAAAGTACAGGTGAATGCATTCACTTACTCTACTCCAACTGTGCCCAGTAAACTCATTCACGAGAATTGCGTTCTGTGCATACATCAATGGAGAGGACCAGTAACCCCATATCCACCAACCCTTTACTTCTTCTGTAACACCAACCAGAATTTATGATATGAGAAAATAGATTATATGAATATATACATAATCTATTTAAACATTCAATTTTCATTGTTTTTTTACCTCTTGACAGGACAAAACCACCTAATGCAAAGAGTAGGAGCAATGAAAATAGGCCAAATGTGTTTGCTATAATCATATTCCTCCCCATTGCCCCAATAAATCTGAATAATGCTCCTGCTGCCTGATGGAGCAATAAAAGTAGCAAGTACTGCTTGAAAAACCTGCAAAAAAGAATCTTAATTAATAGTTATTTCAAGATCAGGTTACTCTTAACAATGGGACCTATCTAAAGTATACACAATACATGTCTCAACCTGCAGTATTTGACACAATTAGATAGTATACTGAACAATTTTAGCTTCTGGTTCTTTCTTAAGATTGTTATTACTATCCAAGCCTCTCTACCAAACATGCTACAAATGTTTAATTCTCACCTTCCTATATTTGGATCGAATCCAATCACGTAGTAAGTCAAAAATACCCAGATAGCAACTTCAAGAAAGGTAATAGGGATTTTCAGGACCCAAGATGGAAGTGCATATGCCCATGGGGGGAAGAAAAACATATCCCTTTGCTTGTAGAAGACAGGAAGTTTGTAAATTGTCATGGCAAGCTCTGACATTCCGTTAAACATGATCATAATGACAGTGAAAAACAGTGCGCCAGTATATATTCCTCCATCGGTTACATTGTTTTTGCTCATCTCAGTTCGAAAGAAAACTGTCATCGCGATTAGCCCCATAAAAGTAAGCTGAAAAAGGATACCAAAAAAAAAAAAAAAAAATTTATTAACAATTGAATTCCATGTAAAAAATAGATGAACATTCTGTAAAAAATACATGCCTGGAAAATTTTGAAGATATAGACAAATGAGTTTCTCTTCATCAGCAAGAGTTCTCTGTCACTACAAGCTTTAAGTAGCTCTTTCTCTCCAACACCGTACTTTTGGGTTGATAAAGCCGCGGGATGGCTTTTGCTTTTATCGAAGGGTGTTGCAAGTTCGTCCCCAACTCGCACTCCAACACTGAATGATTGGAATGCCTCTGCAAATTCCCTGACTGGGATAAACCTGTAAGGCTCGTCCCTACGTGCCCAATATTGCTGCTGATCCTTCTTTGATGTCACCTGCATATTTGTTTATTTTCACATTAGAAATTTTAAGAAGACCAAATTTAAAGAAATAATTGTGTCCATTCTCTAACAGTTTATGCTTTTAGACAATGAGGTTCAACGTGGTTTTATAGCAGGCAAAAGGCTCGTCAATTTTATTTATTTATTTATTTTTGTTCCGGTTACTTACTTCTTGCAAGAAGTCAGCCACTCCCTTTCTCTCTGGACATTTGAAACCCATAGATTCAAAAAACTCTAGAACATTTTCACGAGGGCCCTGATAAACAATCTGGCCATCAGCTAAGAGGACTATGTCATCAAACAGATCGTAAGTCTCAGGTGCTGGCTGAAGGAGGGAGATAAATGCAGTTCCTTTCATAATGTGGACATACTGGCGCAGCATATTCACAATTTGGTAAGTCGTAGAACTGTCCAATCCAGTCGATATCTCATCCATGAAAAGTGCCTTTGCCGGTCCAACAAGCATCTCTCCTGCAGTTTGCAGAAAACTTTATCACTCGGAATAAAATCAATAAACCAGAATTAAAATTTCATTTTCTTAATATCGGGTTTGTTTACCAGTCGTAACACGCTTTTTCTGTCCTCCAGAAATTCCCCTTATCATCTCATCCCCGACCAAAGTATCTGCACAAATTTCAAGCCCCAAAACCTTAAGAATATAATCTGTCACCACATTCGCTTCATCACCTTCCGTAGCGGCAGCCTATATTGGAAACAAAATTATGAGGTTAGACCATTGATTCAATTTGATTGAAGTGACGGAAATTTAAAAAATGAGACATTGAATGTAACTCCGACGTGTTTTTCATAGACAGTCTAAAGATTAAAGTAGGTTGAAAGCCACCTTTATACTTTGTCAATTCTTATGAAACAAATACTTATAACGTTCTTGATTTCTAAATATAACTAGATTATCCAAAAATAGAGTTTCTAGTTTGAATTTCATTGTTTGAACTAACTGATAACGAGAGAATCAGTTTTGAAACACAGAAAGGGAAGCTACAAATCAAGAAGTTCTAAACTATTTCATGGAGAGACTGATATATAACCTTCATGTAGATATCGATATCTGGGTCAGGTTTGATATTTGCTGCCTTCTCTCTTCTTGACAATTCTGCCAACATCTCTGCAAATATTTTGACTCAAGTAGTTACTTAATACGGTACAACATATAAATTCTAAATTCTAAGTCAGAAAATATGAAAGATGGAAAAACAAATGTTAACGAAATAAATGAATCACTTTGAACGAACCATAGCGAGATCCAACCCCTTGGCATCTGGCAGAGAATGCTAAGGTTTCTCTCACAGTCATTTCTCCTATGTGCAGATCATGCTGACTGATATATGCTGCAGTTTTTTGAGGTACAAACTCTTCCATTCCATGTCCATTATAGGTGACTCTTCCCGAAAACTGGTAAATATTTTCAGTTTCGTCAATTAAAACTGATAAAGCAAAATTGATAATTTATGAAGGAATGAAACTTGAAGAGTCCTTGCCTTTAAAGTAGGATCCAACTTTCCAGCCAAAGCCAACAGAAGAGTCGTCTTTCCAGAACTCGGAGGACCTAAAAGCAATGTCATTCTGCAAAAAATAGTACTCTCAATTAGTACATAACTCGAACTTAAAGGAAATGAAGACATTAATGAATGAATTAAATTAATAACTGCTAAGTTCAGGAATTAATCGATTTAGCCCTCGTACCTGCATGGCTTGATGATTCCACTGACATCCTTGAGGATAGACAGAGGCCTCTTTCTACTTGAAATTATATTGAGAGAGTTCAAGAATCCCTTTTGAGAAAGAGAGAGACAGGTTAGATTGAATTACGATCGCCAAAACTAACATGAAACATGTAGCCGACACCAAATTATGGGGGGAATAGATAGCATGAAGTAAGTGATAATCGTTTTACCTCTATTATATTCGTATGGAAGTTAATAAAACTGGGCAGCGCCCTGCTTGCCGTATAGGCTTCAGCATCTATATTTAGATGCTCGAATCTCACTTCAATAGCCGGCAAGTCAATTCCAACTCTGGAGGAGCAAAAGAAGTTATAGAAATACATTTTGAATATTGAACTGGTTGGAATACACCGGACGGAGACAGGACATAATTGTAGTACCTGTCAATTCTGTTCCTGAGCTTTAACAAGAACTTCTCATTATCTTCTTCCACGACGTTTACTAGCCTTTCGATTAAATTCTTTTTATCCTGGAATCCAAGATCATGAACATCAACTTCATTCACACCCTCTGATCCATATAGAAGGCCTTTTTTCAAACGATCGAACGTGGGAAGCTTTTCGAGGGCAGCCCATTTAAGAGCTTCTTCATCGTCTTCGTCACGCGATGAACGAGAAAAAGCTTCGATTCCCGTGTTCCTCCATATGGACGCACTGTTTGCTCTCAAACTGCCATGACTTCTACTGCTTGCTCTTAAGCTATTACTAGTTCTGATAACATCACCAGTATCCATCCCTATCCTACCACCAGAACTCTGCAAAATTATCCCACAAACACTACAAACTTAATAGTTTTATACAAAGATTAGCAAGATTAAGGAACATCATATAAGCTCATAAAAATCAACTTATAAAAAACTGCAGAATTTCTTAAACTAACAAAAAGTAACTTTGATAATCATATTTGGCGAGATAAGTAACTCAAAAGTAAATTTAACTTTTGATTATGCATGATCAAATATGTTCTTATGAAGTTACTTACTTTTATAGCAAGACAGCGATCTCCATAACAACTTTTCCACTTAAACGTAAAGAAAGAGTAACTTATTTAAACGAATTTAAAACCAAGTTACATGATAACTTAAGTTCAGCCATATATGACTCCTGAAGACTCGAGAGAAGCAAATGAAATAAACACGTTTTTATGGATCAAAACTAAAAGCTTCCTTGAACTAACAAAAATAAGTAATTATATTGTAAGTGCACAACCAACTATGCTCTAACTAACTAAATTATTTTGATGGCGAGAATAGAGTTTCTTCCAAAATAAGTTTTTTAAAGAGAAACCAACTTATTCATACACACACACACACAAAAAAAAAAACACTTATTTTTAAGTTCGGAAGCATGATTCCTAAAGACTTGATGACAGCAAATGAAACACAGACCCCTCCAATTTGATTGTGATGTACCTGAAAGTGTTCTTCTCTGTAAGCTTTTAGGCGACCACCTAGGTTCCCGCTAACTGATCCTCGATGCTTAAGTCAGTAATCATAAAACAAGAAAAAAAAATTCACTCGAATCCTTACTTGTTCTGTCAACCTTAGAAGAGAAGAATATTAAAGGTTAGCAAGAAATTAACAAGTTTCGGGACTTTCTTGATCTTGAGTCTGAGACTGTCGGGCAACCAATACACATGAAAATCTTTGCAACTTTCGTAGTGAGCGCTCAACAATGGAAGATGGAACACAAAAGCCTGGGTTTTCCTAACACATACATTGGAAAAATAAAATATATATATATAGGTGTGTTTAATGTAGGAGTGGAAATGTCAGGGATTTCTTGGAAGCTCCATTGCGTGACATGCATTTGCCACCTTCTTCAATTCAATATTTGACCCAAGAAAATAATATTTAAAAAAAATAAAAAACATTATCAAAAAATTATTTTATTTTTTCGGCAGATAATATTTTAATATAATTTGGTAAAAGAAATAGTTTTTCACGGCCGCCACTGTTGACGGCGTTGGGCACCATAATCCACGTTCTTGACCAAAATACATTCAATTTATTATTATTGTGATACATAATTGACTCGAAATTTGTATTATTCTTAAGGCTTATCGAATCTAAATCTTAGCCTCTGTTTGATTTTCATTAAATTAAATTACTTTACATTCTATTTTTTTCTCTCCTATTTTCATCCACACAGTCTTTCATAAAATAATATTACACTTAAATCGAAAATTTTTCCTTCTTTTTCAACCACTCATTTTTCTAAAAAATACTATTCCTCCAATTTTCATTTTCAAGTAATGAGGATCAAACAGGGGTTTAATCAAATTTAAGTTTGTGGTGTAAAATTTAATAGAGGTTACCATTGATTTAATAAATTAGAACAATGTTGACTAAGTGAAATATAATATTGATTAGAAACTGTTAAAAAAAAATCATTGTATGAATGGAACACACATATATATTCCATTAAAACGGAATGATATCACGAACCAACTTACTCATTAAAATATTTTTATTTTTTCAAAAGTAAATGTTAAATTAATAATATATAATATACGCAAATAACCAAAAGAAAAAATAATGTCAATATTGGTGTCCCTTGTCTAACAAAGTGAAATATAAGAATATTATAAACTAAAAAAAGTGGATTTTGTTCTCTAAAGTAGATTTCGTCTTTAAAAAATTTGACATGCACTTGTGTGTTTTATATTATAAAGAATGAGCTTTCTCATTATGGAATCATTCACAACTTGACATAGATAATTTTAAAGGCATAGCGAGACTAACAAAAATATGGGCACGGCATGGACGTCTCTTTTCATACTTGAATTTATGACATTTTCATACATGGCATCAATCTTTTACAAAATAGTTCGTTTGTCATTGATGACGATTTTCGTCTAAAAAATTATTTAGAAGGGTATAAAAAGACTTATTTGCACCCATCTATTTTTAAATAAAAAATAAATAAATGAAGACGTTATATTACCTTTTTCCCTTTAAAAAAATACTTGTCTTTGATATGGCTTTTAAACTAAGAAGTAAAAATTTAAATTTCAAAAAAAGCTCAAGTCACGAGATCAAGAAGAGTGCATTTTTTCTTTTCTAGAAGAATTGACCTTCAAGCTTTCTTCCAGTTTTAAACAACAGCTGATATGTGTAGATTTGGTATCAACCATGCATTTTAGCTTTAAAAACTTATGTTGAATCAATCTATCTAAAAATTTAAATATTTAAAGTTAGTCATGAAAAAAAAATGGCAAATAAACTATAATTTGGCCCCCATTTTTTCCAAATTTTAATGTTTGGAATAGTATTTTTGTGAAAAATGTGTTGTTGAAAAAGAATGAAAAGATTTCGATTTACATGTAATATTATTTTATAAAAAATTGTATAGTTGAAAATAAGAGAGCAAGGAAAAAAAAAATGAAAGAGAATGGAGCTAAACAGGAGCTAAATATCCAATCGATTGTTGGGATGTTTCGAGAAAAATATTATTTTGCCTGACGTTCTTATTATTATAATGTTTTGAGTATTTTCAAAATATATATTCTCCATCCAATTTCTTTTATACAACTTTCTTGGTATTATCAAAGTGTTTAATATCTTTTGAAATAATATATTCTTCATTGAATTTCTTTGCTCCCTTTCACAATAGAAACTTCTCTGACCCCTAGAAAATGTTATAATTATTCATCAAGTTTGAAATCAACATTTCCCACAAAGTGGAAGTAGATGAGAACAATTTAACCCCCTCTTTGACATTTAATATTTCAAAATTTTTTTATTCTATATATTATTTTTAGCCACAAATTCATTCAATAGAACATTCTGCACGTAAATCCAAAATTTCTCCTACTTTTTAATCACAAATTCTCCAAATACTAATCAAAATATCTTTTTTTTTTAGCAAATAATCAAACGTGGACTAATTACCAAAAAGCCACCATAAAATGTTAAAAGTTCCAAATTGGCAATTCTTTTTTAATTTTCTCCCATAATCTTATATTCTCGAATTTTCATTTCAAAACATTAGGTTTGATCCTTATAATTTATGTCTGGTAAAGTAGATTATATCGCTCTAAATAATATATACGGCTACATAATAGATTAAAAATTATATACCAAACTTATTTTTCGAAGTGGTACAAAAAAAAATGAAAAAAAACCTCGTCTTGCATCCCTTATCGTTGATATAAGAGTCTTGTTGTGTGGTACCTAATCGCATTAATATCCATAAAGCATTGTTTGAAACCGTACAAAGCACCTAGAAGCAAAAAACACGAGGAACTTATTTTTCAAGAAAATTATTGTTGCGTGTTGTCACACATGTCCTACCCACCTGGGTCAATAGCCCACTCATTCTGATCCACGTGACATTCCTGCCGAGGTGGCACACATTGCCGAGGTGGGTTATATCCGAAGTGCTTCAAGCCGAGGTCCATCCGTCGAGGCTCCTCGATCCGATGTACGCGAGTCTGTCGAAGTCCAACTACCGAGGCCCACGACCCGAAGCATGGAACCTGTTGAATGTAAATGAGGTCCTCAAGTGGAAGTATTTGTCAAATGGTCGAAGCCCCGAAACTGATGCACGAGCCTCTTAACCACAAGGAGCTTCCTCCACAGCCACTTCTCCCAAGAGATCGCCTGCTCAGAGATCTTATTCGAATGACTGATGGAACGTTTGTCACAAGCATAAAGGTCAAGTCTTGTCACTAGTATGGAGGACCTGCGCAAGCAATAAATGCGCCGTAAGCTAGCAAGTCAAACCCCATACCTAAGAAAAGACGTTTGAACTAAAGAGATGAGGCCACGTGCCACTTCATCCAAGGGCTCCCATTTCATATGTATCACTATAAATACTTTCATTGTGTAATGTCAAAGGCTAATGCAAGAATCAATACTAAAGACTACATTTACTCAACTCTCTCTCATTTACTTGCAATACACAAATCGAGTTTATACACTTTTACATATACATTTACGAGCACCGATTGGTAATTATTGTACAATTGGATTACGAACAACCCGTCGAATTCCGAACGTCACCGTCCCGCGTCGTTGGGCTACTCCCACGCCCCTTTGAACTGCTCGTTTTAGACCGTCCACGTGTCTTAGTGTGTTGGAAATTCGCCCACGCAAGCGCGGGGGGGACCGACATCTGTTGGCGCACTTTTTGGGGTCAACAGATTGCACCCTAGAAGCCCTCCACTCCTGGGTATAATCTACAAGCTCCTCGGCCATGGCATACCTATCCACCTCGGACATCCCCCCGTGACTGATCCCATAGTCTAAAGACGCCACTGTAACAAGCTTCCTACCCGAAGTGGACTCCATTTTCTCAGTAAAAAGACAGTAAGAAGGTTTTTTGTGCAAACAATACCTAAGGGAATTCGACACAAACGGAGACTGGCCGGAATTTAATATTACAGTCAACCTCGACGCCGAAAAATTTGGAGATTTGAGAGAGTTTCAGAGTGCAAAGTGTTCAAAAATCCTGAAAATTGGGATTTTCTTGCCTTTTATAAAGGTCCAAGACGAACCCCAGCCGTCAAATCAAATCTCAGTCAATAAGAGCCCTCCATTTCAGATCCAATCCGAGGCGTTGAATTCAAACGGTTTTTAAATCCTACGCTTCAGATTTATGAGTGCCTCCCACACACCTCTCCAACGCGTCTCCTTCTAGAAGCGCCAGCTGCCCTCATAATTGCATTTTTAATTCGACGGTAGTAGCGCCTTGGAAGTCATAACGATTCAGCCACTTTTCCTCGAAAACAAGCACAAAACATCAAATCATTGGCACAGCAGCCAAGGCACAATCATTACCATTGGACCTCGGCTTCCTCTTCGCTATTCAGCAATCAAAGCCTCGCAGGTTCGGTTCCTCAACCACTTCGGCTTCCTCTCTTCGCCATTCAGCAATCAAGCCTCGCAGGTTCGGTTCCTCAGCCACCTCGGCTTCCTCTTCACCATTCAGCATCAAAGCCTCGCAGGTTCGGCTACTCAACCACCTCGGCTCATCTTCAGAGTTCAAACACCTCGCCTACTTCATCGCTCACCCACAGCAACACTTCTCAAACTCCAACCATGATATAAATATATATACTTGGACTTGGGGGACTATTATTTGGGGTTCAAAAATTCTTTCAACTTTTACTCCATTAAAGTCTACGCATTACATTAATGATTATACTTGGACTTGGGGGACTATTGTTGCGTGTTGTCATACCTGTCCTATACACCTGGGCCAATGACCCACTCATCCTGATCCATGTGGCATTCCTGCCGAGGTGGCACACATTGCCGATGTGGGTTATATCCGAAGTGCTTCAAGCCGAGGTCCATCCGCCGAGGCTCCTCGATCCAATGTACGCGAGTCTGCCGAAGTCCAACTACCGAGGCCCACGACCCGAAGCATGGAACCTGTTGAATGTAGCTGAGGTCCTCAAGTGGAAGTATTTGTCAAATGGTCCCCGAAGCTGATGCACGAGCCTCTTAACCACAAGGAGCTTCCTCCACAGCCACTTCTCCCAAGAGATCGCATGCTCAGAGATCTTATTCGAATGACTGATGGAACGTTTGTCACAAGCATAAAGGTCAAGTCTTGTCACTAGTATGGAGGACCTGCGCAAGCAATAAATGCGCCGTAAGTTAGCAAGTCAAGCCCCATACCTAAGAAAAAACGTTTGAACTAAAGAGATGAGGCCACGTGCCATTTTATCCAAGGACTCCCATTTCATATGTATCACTATAAATACTTCCA